TGTGTGCAAGAAATGTACTTGACTGTAGCCATTGAATTCAGCATTCAAGCTTGCCCTGTGTTTTGGAAGCAGTGTTTTATATTTAAATATTCCTTCTATGTATTTGATTTTACAAATCAGAGTAATTTTTGCTTTTGTATGTTTCCTTTAACTATTCTGGAAGTACACTGACAGGAGCGGAAAAGGGTGTTTAATATGACTTTCTTTCTCTTCTCAACAGAAAATAATTACTGACTGAAAGAGATATCTTGAAGGGACAGTGCTCAAAATAGGCCTCTCTTTCCCCCTAAGCTTCATAATGAGCATTATATAGAAAGGGAATAAGAGATTTCCTTTGACAGTTCTATGCATACACATTTTTACACTCTAATATCCAAGTGAACCATGTACATTTAAATTCCAGTATGTGAAAAATATTTCAGCTTCATTTGCCCTTGTTTTCTTTTTCTACTGAAAATTAAGATAATTTAATATAAAATACTATGCATTTCAGGAGAAATATCACTTTAAATCTTCATGCTACAGTGAGTGCTAGCTGGCATAGAATTCTTTTAGTTAGAGTATAAATTTTAGTGTTGGATTTGGTGCTTAAGGAAATTCGGCAAGCAGCAGAAACATTGCTCTAGTGAATGCTACTATTACGTATAACCCAATGGGAGCCCATCTCCCAACCTGAGGTAAAACAAAGTTTAGGCTTGAATTTTATTCTGGGTAAAACCTGAGGAAACAAATATCAAAATCATTTAAACTGTTGTGTGCTTGAGTTCAAAACTATATGGTATATGTTTTCTTTTACTAATCTCAGTTTAGTCTTTAAGAACTTAGTCTATGTATGTCCAAATTAAGGCTGACTTTTTTTTTTTTTTTGCATCTCCTTTGCTGTAATTATTTAATTCAGTTGGTCATCTTGACAGATTATGTAGGTATGCTAATGTCAGTAATTTTGATATGCCAGTGAAAAGGTTTGTCAGTAGAGATGTAAACAACAGAAATTCTTTAACAATGATAGCAAACTTCAGTCCATCCACTAGGTGCTCTTAAACACTTCCATTAAAATAATTTACTGCTTGCTTTCATAAGAAACTTTACTAATTATTATGGGATAGTACCATGTTCCAAGCTATAAAAAACTGACAAAAGATCCATTTTCAGCTGCTGTCACATAATTTGAAATCAATCATTTTGATTTAGCAATATTGGATGATTAATTTTTTTGTTGGGAGAAGAGAATCATAGCTCTAATAGTGGCTGCCATTTTTTTCTGAAGCATTCTTTAAATTTTTGAAAATTTAAAATAGCTTTTACCATTGAAAAATCTGCCTCCTTTGTCACACCGGAGATTGCCTGAAATGGATGACAGTTGAATTTCTCGAGAAAAATATGCATTTTTATAGAGTGTGAGAGCTTATTTGATTTGAGAGGTCCAATTGTTTAACTCTTTCTAATAAAATTATAAAAGCGATGCCAGAGGTACAATCCAGCCATTGTAACACAGAGTATGCAATTCCATACTACTGAAATTTTAAATCTAAAATGCTAGTGGGTTTTTTTTTTTTTTGCATTTGAATTTTTTTCTTTAAACAAAACTCTTCCAAATCTCAGAATTTAAAATACTCTTATGTCCCATGACGGAAGCAGAATGAGTGATCCACAGAGCAATCTTATGCTTGTCTAATTAAAAGTAATATCCACTGAATCCATTGCCACTTACTCCAAAAGATGATGAAATGGGGAACTGATTTATTAAATCAAGGTGGAGGAGGTGGAAACAGTTGAGGATATGGTCCCAATGCCTTGCTAGTAAGAGCAAATTTCTAACCATAGGAATAATGAGAGCTGCAACTGTTCAGATAAAGATGATTTACAGAAACCACAAAATGTATACCAAAAGTTTCCATTATTTTTTATTTTAAATATAAGTTACAACAGTTACTAAGGAAACAAAATGCAATCGTTATTTACAATATAAAAACCGAAACACTATTATTTGTTTTTGATGTGTTATGTTCTCATAATAGCTCATTTTTCTTTGTTTTTCTGGGGACTGTAATATCAATGAAAAATGATGCTTAATCATCTGTGAGTAGGGACCCTTTAATTATAAACAGAACAATTTGTTTAAAACTCATTTTCCCTTAGGAGAATATCAACTTTCAGTATAAAATGACTTATAATATCAGCATAGTTATATGCGCCTCCTAAGCTCTCATTCCTAAAGCAATCATCTAAACAGAACTATCACCAGGATATCTTCATGAAAGACCTAAGCTATGGTGCTAAGAATGTGATTAGCCTCTTGCATTGAGCAGGAAGACATATCCCAGCTTTGATAAACAACCTCTGGTTTCCTAAACATGAGTCATAGGCATACCTACATCAGCTTTTCTTCTCAACAGTATTTGTATCAATTACTAGATGTGGTGAGAAATGGACCTGAAAACATGCTAAAATTTCTAGATACACTACATGAATTTATGCACGCTCCAATCCCTGTCTATCCCTTTGGCAGACAGATGCCACTCCAGATGGTGAAGCCATCTGGTGGACAGTAATTAACTTCTAAAATGAGAGGTGATGGCAGAGCACAATTTATTTTTGTAAAACTGGTTTGGTGGCCCTAGTAAGTTTAGTAAGTTGGAAGCCTTCAGGATATATCATGAGACACTCATTCAAGCAGTGTAACTTTCCAGAGCTGAGACCTGGTACTGAGAATAGAACCAGGGACCCAGGTTAATTATAACAAGGTTGGGCAACTGCTAAATCTCCAAATGTTGTTAGACTGCAACTCTCACCTGCCAGACTAGTGTAGTAATGAGTGAGGTATCATGGGAGATGCAGGTCCTCATCTGGGATACATATTGTTCACCCACGTCTTACGTTTCCAGAAGTAGAAAGACATGGGTATGGAGTTTAATTCAGACTTGTCTAATTTTCAGGAACATGTGACAGCTCCGTCCGCACCCCTGCCATTCCTAACATTTATGTAGAATTTTCTAGTAAGCAGAGCTCAGATGAAGGAAGAAGGAGAGGAAAGCTTGTGTGTTTACAAAATTATTCATGTCTTGGTTGTGATACTAAGTTTAAGTGTACCATTGGCACAGAAAAGTAAGTGATAGATAGATAGATAGATAGAATGATATAGATATCAAAATATGTTTTGAAATTACCTGTGAGTTCAGAAATACTTCACTTCCATAATTAGCACATTCTATATAATACATAAAACAGTATCATGCTACTGGAAACAACTGTAAGAGCAGGGAGGGGTTTTATTGTGGTGTCTATGTTTCAACTAGAAATGACTAGTATTAGACAACTTCCTTAATTAAATTTCTTCACTAGTTTTTTTCCTTTCAAAGAACTCAAGGTGGCTTACATAATTCTCCTCCCCTCATTCTTATCCTCACAACAAACATGTGAGGTGGGTTAGGCTGATAGTCTGTGACTGACCCAAAGTCCCCCAGTTAGTTCCATGGTTGGGCGGAGACTAGAACCCAGTGCTCCTGCATCACACTGGCTTTCATGTAGATAGAAGGAATTCACAAACTCAGGTATAAGAAAAACACACTGACCATGAATATCTGAAACCACTCACTTTGGACATTGAAATCCTGACTTCAGAAGCTGCACATACTTCATGTACCTGCAAACTGTCCCTTTGCTTCTGTACAGGTGAATGTGTGAACAAGACAAAATACTGTAGTCATCTATAGCTTCCCATTATGGCTGAACCAATTAACTATAGTTACTGGATTCCAAACCAACCAGTATATGAAACCATTAATTAAACTTGTCTTCTAAATGCTGGCTGGTTTGGAAACCATTAACAAAAGCTCTCAGTCTGGACATAATGCAAAGCTATGGTTTACGGCTTCCTTCCCTCTTATGGAGAACTTTTATGGAGAAAAGTATCAACAAAGTGTTAGCAAAAATCCTTGACTTGGATTTGATTGTCCAAATGCCACCAGTGTGTTCTCATAAAAATAAACAAGGTTTTTCACTAGTGGGTCATCCAAGTGCCTGATCCAGCAGGTATCTTGTGTGACTGCAATGGGGGCCATTTCAGTGGAGGTCATATTTTACATACTTTATAGATTACATTTATACCAGTCCTTTTAGTTTTCCTTACTGAATAATAGCAAAGATTCAGGTGGTGAGTTCTCCAGTTATTCAGGAACTTCCACAGAGGGTTCAAATAATAAATATATATTTTTGCACAAATAACAGAATATTTTTAAATAAAACTCTTCAATTTTATTGTTTGAACTCACCTTGAAACATAACAATGGCATTATGACCTAAACTTTCATGACCTAGAGGCCTTTACCTGGCAGAGTCTATCACAGGTTTGGGCGACTCATCTTTGCTATTTCATAATCACCTCTAGATTTCTAAAAAGATGAATTGTTTCAAACCAGTCATCGCCTGCAGACTAGAATGCTGCCTTTCTCTGAATACAGTGCTTTTATTTATGACTAGACCTTAAAAAAAACAATTGGAGCCTCAAATATAAACGCTACACATGCTTTAGCGCGCAACATGTGGGGCATGGTGGATGGAATGCCAGTAACGTCATGTGTATTGCATTTTTGCAGGTCTTATTTATGACCAACCTTATTTCAGTAGTGCCTTATTTCAGCTGTGGTCATTTTGAAAATAAACACGCACCTGCCAATTTCATCCAGCTGTTGAAATTCTCAGTAAAATGTACCAGTGTTTGAAAAGTTAATTTCTGTTTATTGCTTAGGCTTCAACTCAGGAGGCCCTCATTCCTGGCCTGCGTTGCTGGAGTTTGTGGGATTACTAGATAGTAGCTTTAGAATCTTTCCCAATGATCAGTATAAAACAGCATGGATTTTTAAGCCTATAAAAATGTTTATCTCATTCCCATCCAGCCTTGTTTGAAGATATGGTTCTAGATTATTACTGCTGTCTCAAAGGCATGGCTGAGGACACAGATAAAATGCATGGGTTGCTAAATTTTGCTACCTTTCTCTCAGGGACTGAGAGGCTATTCTGGCAGCCTGTATCATCCTGATTACTGGATTACTTCTATAGTCATCAGCTCCTTTCCCAAGATACTTCACTACTTCTATCGTGCATGTTACAGCTGTCCTTGAAGTAAGTGCAAACACTGCTACTCCTGGGAGACAGAGTTTAAAAAAAAGAGTAATGCAGATTAAGGAGCAATGGAATTTTCCACAAGTATGTACAATACTAAAGACATATATCTCATATAATCTAAATTTTTTTCTAGGATGCCTTTCGGGGTTTAGAATATGCTTTGTGATATCACTGATTTGAAACCTGTGATTATACTTATGGCACATAACTGTGCTACATGAATTAATTGCACAACTACGATCAGTAGCCAAATGCATGATGGGATTAATCACCACTTTCTGTAATAGCATTTCCATGTAGCTTTCAATGAAATAACATTTATCACTGAACAGTACTCTCACTTAAGTACTGTCATTACCATTATGGGATGCCTAACAGTATTCATAGATCTGTTTTCATTGCCATAAGAAATTAAAAATTAAACAAATGTGTAAGTTAAGACATGAGTGAATGGTGTATGTTGCACAATAGTGTGTTCATTGAGTAAGATGAACTAGAAACTCATTCATCTCTGTCTTTTGCATGCATCATAAGCACCCAATAACAGTTTAAAAAACTATTAATGTACATTTCATTTCTTTTAAAATATAAACTATAAAATAATTATACTTCGCTCTAGGCATAATCCAGCATGACTATGTAGAGGAAAAGAGTTCTATCATTGCCGCTTGTCCTTATGTTTCATCTTTTTGGGTAGTGCTGTTATATGTTAAATATGTTGGAGAACTTGAAAAAGAGAAGCTTTTGTTTTGTCATAGAATCAGTGCTAATGAGATTGGAAGATCCAAGCCCTTCATTTGTAGGGTGAAATCTAACATCACAGAAGAGAATTTTTGCTGATGCAGCAAAACTTTATCCTGTTCTCCTCTCACTCACTGGGGGCGTTCAACGTTGTTCTGGAGGGTCCCTAAACCCTTTGAAGTGAATTGAGGTGTGTGGGAGAGGGTGAATTGCTCCTTTCCCTGTTCTGCTGAAGGAAGCTGTTTTATTGGTGGGAAGCCTTAATTGGCTACCACCCAAAAGCATGGTCCTCCATGCACAGCAATACGCAAGAACCCACCAGTTCAACTGTAGCATAGAACACATCACATATAGGGAGTAGGTGCATCTTCTATGCAAAACAAGTTTTACGTCTTCCTTTAAAAAAGGTACAGTTTTTGGAAAACTTTAGCAATTAACTGTAAACTTGGGCTTGTTTTCTTATACATCAGCAATGGGATTTTGAAGTTTTCAGAACTAAGCTAAGGAAGGAAAATGCAACTTGTTCCTGGGAACTAGCCTGTGTTACAGATGCAATGTGGACCTGGTCACCCACTAAGGCTGGAGACCTGAATCTCCATGAGGCCATCTACTCCACCTTTCCTGCTGCCCATGACATTTGCGGAAATAAAGACACATAGGCCCTGACAATCTCTGTTGCACCTGAAGCCCCTGGATTTTTGCCCACATACTCTTTGCCTCCTGTAGCCTCCCTGTCATGAACCTTTCTCCCTGCACTTTCTTTGTTTGTTCGTTTTCTGAAATCAAATGCTCTCCTCTCCCTTGTACATATGTCCCTTTTTACAAAAAGGAGACAGGTCATTTGAAAAAGCACAGAGAAAGACCTTAGAGCATATGTAAATCAGCATAGGCACCTTCGTGCATTCTTTTCAATAGATAGCACTGCCATGGCCATCTTAGTTGAGTTACTGAAGTTTCTACCACCCCTTACTGATGATTCTGTCCAATACTCTTGGTGCCACAGTGGTTAAGTGCATCAAAATGCTGTAAAACTGACTAAGCAGATCCCTCACCAATGGTGAGTGTTCTCATTTTTAACCTGTCACTCTGATGGGGAAATTTGGATGTTATGAATAAACGGATGACATTGAACTGCAGATTTTGATAATGCTTTCTCCTGTGCCAAGCTTCCCCTTGCATGATCAACTAACAGGGCTATCCCCTTCCCTTCCTTGACTTTATCCAATGAATTCCCAGATATACCTTCCAATAACAACAACTTCAGGTTGGATGTCAGGAAGTACTTCCTGATGGTTAGAACCCTTGGGATATGGAATGGGCTTCCAAGGGAGGTGGTTGAGGCTCCATGAGTGAGTGTGTTCAAGAAAAGATTGGACAACCACATGTTGGGGATTGCATGAATAGAGCAGACTCAAGCCGTGGCTCAGACTAGATGGCCTGGGAGGCCCCTTGAGTGCTGGCCCTCAGTGCGATAACTAACACAGAGCAGGTGAATGTCTGCAATGGCTTCCCTGTTCTTGAAACTGTTGCCCTCTGCTGCTGTTATTTACTGCTTGCTGCTGTGCATTGAGCTGAATGGCCATGAAGTATGCATTTCAGCTTTATCTTTCTTCAAGCAGGCAGAGAAGGCTCTGGAAGCAAAAGATGAAAAGCATCTCTCTGGCAGCAATGTTCCAGTTGCCCAGCATGCTCTACCCAGGGATTCCATATGCCAGGAGCCCTTTGGTTCTTGCCCTTTGGCCCAGGCCTCTGTCAGGAATGGCCTTTAAATCCTGCAAGGGAAGGGGGAAAGGAGACATATAGGTTCACCCAGATGTCTCCACTTGTAAAAGTTCTTTAGCTGTGTAATTTATAGCTAGCACATGCGGTAAGAAATGCCAGCCTGTAAATCCACCCTGGCCAGAACATTGATATTTAAAAGAATATAACCAATTTATTTGTGTGCTCCCTGTAATTGGCCCTGATGAGCAGTTGGGGCACACTGCTCAGTGCGGGCCTCTTAAACTTTCCTATCAGTTTTCATGGGGAGTTTTCAAAGATTGGGGGAGGAGGAGAGGACTTAGCGTGTTAATGGCAACCATATTGTGATGGTTTAGTACATGGGGGAAGGAGGCAATGGAAACTGAAAGAACTACTAAGGGGGACAGGGGGATGGTGAAAGAGAGAGAAATAGCTTAGTAATACTGAATTGACTGGTATCAAAAAGCACATTGAAGGAGCAAAGATGGCAGAGTAAATTCAGAAGTTGGTGCAGCCGACATTCCCAAGCAATGGCATAGTTGCACCCAAGAGGATCACGTTACAGTGGTGCAAACTGGGTGCCAAGCCATAGCATCCTGCCGACCACATCCATGAATAGGCACAGCGGGTATTACATCAGGCTATTCAGGGCAGAGAGTGCATGTACACACATGCATATGTAGCTCATACAGTACGTGTACCAGGAAGCTCAGACAAAACTGGAGGACCTTGGATTCAGAAGTTGAAGAATACCAATAGTCTTGGAAAACTGAAACCAGGGCAGCTGCTGGATTTTGAGGTGAACAAAATGGTTTTGCAACTGCACTTATTCTGAATACGGTGTATTTGACTCTAGAGAGGTACATGATAAGGTTATTTGGAAGGTGAAACAAGAACTCAGGGTTCTCAATTGTTAATTAGGGAAACAGATTGTAGATAATTTGGCCTGGCATATCCAAGAGTTTCTTAGCAGAGCTCCAAATGTTAGGGTATTCTCTTTACCATGTCAGTGGAAGACTGGTGTTAGTTCTTCAAATATGCTGGCTTGATTTGCACAACACAAGGAAGGTTAACAAACTGTAGTGGCTTGTAAACCCACTCCTGCATGTGCGGGCTGTATGCTAACTCAGTTCACTAATTACCCTTACCAGATGTGGCTTGTTGTGATCTCTGAACTGAGCAAGAGTGGGTGACTGGGCAAGGCTAGGCAACCAGCCAGCCAACCCAGCCAGCCAGGTATACATGCTTCAGCTGACTTCAGCTGTCACAACAATCCATACCTAGTGCTGGTAGTTAAGCAAAAGAACTGGAATGTGATCAATACATGCAAGAGTAGCTAACAAGTTACCATGGGTAATTAACATGGTTTGTCTGTTGTGTATACCTGGTAACTGACCTGATCCATGTGTAATGTGAAACCACATTCCCTCAGGAGGCTTCTTGTTGCAGAAATAGTTGCCATTTTGAATATTTGAGCAGCAGCTGCAGGCTGTAGGTTGTTGTTACATGTACAGGTAGTTCATTGGGGAATTATTGAGCAACCCAGACCTGTTTTAGGGTTACAGTTGGCTTCTTCACCATCCCAACCCATCCTTGTTAGGTTTTATTAGTTTAAAAAATCCTCCAAAAGAAATACGTTCAAAATATTTAAAGACTCTTCCTCTAGATTGCTTATTAACAAAAAGGCAAGATTATATAGGGTAATTGCACAGTAAAGTGGTTGATTAAACAATTGGAAGAAAGTGTTTTGACTGACTTCTTCATTAAGAATCATCCAATGGTAAAGAAAATGATTTAATTTTGAATGAGGAAAGTTTTGTCATGTCTGTCAATGTACATATCAGTCAGATTATTAGTGAATGTCATCAGTATGGATTATGTATTTGTTTTTATTATCTGACAGACTAAAACAAACAATCTGTCAATGGTATATTCATATGACAGTGGCAATACATTTTGTTCCCAGACAAAAGGTAGATGGAGGGTCAAAATGTGAGGAACTAACATATTGTGCATAACTGCATTAATAATATCCTTTTAGGATACAATCTTACGCATGCTTAGAAAGTCCTTCTGGACATGCTGGGACATGCAGAAGGAGAATCTGACACTGTTAGTATCTCTGAGTGTTGAAGCTTTCATGGCAAGAATGATTTCTATTTACTGCCTTTCAGGTGAGCAAAATGTTCTCAGTGGTGTGCTAAATCTCTTATGGCTTACAGCAGAAAAGTACTTTTTGGTGTCATCAGTGCACTCAACATCAGTCTGACAGACTATATGCTGCACAGTGTTTGATTTTAATTGCTTATGTCTTTTGTATTTAATTGCTTAAAAGAAGTCTCCTTTTATATCTATAATTCTGCAGAGCAAGTTTCCCTTTAAACCTGGCTAGACACAAAGCCTACAAAATGAACACATGAACAAAATATGTGTGTGCATTGCTGAACTTTGGGGGTTCTGTGGTCCTGTTTGATATGTATCCAAAAGCAGTTTGCTCAGACTGGCAGTCCTTAGCAGCATGAAAAGCAGAAATTATGTGATTGTTTTGATTTAAGTGAAGCTTTCCAAATTCAGATTACATCATTTTATCATAGGTTATTTTTAGGACATCTCACTTTTGGGCCCTTCTTGAGTGTAAACATTGCCACTGCTTCCCTTTGTCAAATGAGAAAATTACATGAAGCTTTGTTTAAAAGTTTAACAGCCTGAATTCTTGTTCTGTGTTCTAGTGTTTGTCTGTAGCTGTTTCAGTCTTTAAATTATCTTTGTTTATAGCTAACTTTGAGTTTGTGAGGACTGTCCATGTAACACTCCAGAGATATATGTTCTGTATATATGGATATTCTATATACATAGGAAGAGCACAGTAGGATAGAACAACCTCTTGTCCCAAAAATGTGGAAACATTTAACATTCTGTTTTGGTGATACTTACTTGAAAAAATTGCAAGTATTATTTTAAGCAACAGATTTATGCAGTACTGAAGACATGTCTCTGTTTTGCAGGCGGAATAGTGTTGATGTGGATGATTTGGGCAGCCTGGAGATAAAGTGGATGCCATTGACAGCTATGTAAACTGCAATTCTGCAAAGCCTCAGAAATCCAGTAAAATGGAAGAACTGTATAAGGATGCACAAAACCTGCCCATGGATGTTACCAACTCACCCTCAGCTATAGCTAACAACAAACTAGAAAATGGAGTTGCCCAACTGATAACAGCAGAAGCATGGAATATAAATTCATCAGACTTGATGAAGAAAGCACTTTCGCCACTAGTAACTGTCCCTGCTCCATCAATATTGACTCCACCAGCAGAGTCCCAAAGCGGGGTAGCTCTCAAGGTTGCTGCCACAGTACTGCAGCCAATTTGTTTAGGGGACAGTCCAGTGGTCCTACCGATACATTTGCAAGTAGCAGGGAGCACTGCCCCCCAGATTACTCCCAACAGTAACACTCCATACGTCATGACCACTCAAGGTCCAGTACCACTGCCTGTCCTCCTGGAACAGCATGTCTTTCAGCATTTAAATTCCCCTTTGGTGTTACCTCAGAGCAATCCCTGTGCTGGCAACCCCATTCACAGCAACCTCTTCCAAGGCTCTCCTGCCCAGATTGGGCAGCCACAGCTCTTAGATCAGAAGCCATCCAATCCCGCTCAGGAGTCTGTCTTGCCTCCTTTGTTCCAGACACCAGGATTTGCTGCAGTTCTACAGGACCTCTTCCCCTCACAAGGCACCTTAGGTTCATCACCCTACCAGCCGCCCCCAGACTGCTCTTCTGTCCCTCCACAACCCTTCAGTTCCCCTTTGTCTCCTCTGGTCCCCCCAGCCACACTTTTGGTACCATATCCAGTGATTGTTCCTCTCCCAGTCCCAGTGCCAGTCCCCATCCCCATCCCCATCCCAGTGCCCCATAGCACTGAATCTAAGGCCAACCTTGACTGCTCTAAACCAGCTGCTTCATTCATCTTGCATTCCTGCAAAGGCACCCAGACTCCCTTGGAGAAAGAAGAAAGCAAACCACTTGATTTCATCCACCACCGGGGTCTTTCCCAGCTAAATCGCCACACTGTCATCAAGATGAGTAATGAGAATGAAGTCCTTGACCTGTCAATGAAAACAACCCCTTTGCTTAAGGAAAACGATGACAGTTCCCAGCTCTCACCTGAAGATGGTGTTTTGGACTTGTCAGTTACTTCTTGTTGGAAGAGAAGCAGCCCTGAAAACAAAGGTACCACTCATTCTGGATCCCTTTTGGATGGCTCCTCTCATTCTGCAGTGGAAACGCTTCCTAATGCAGCTGCTTCACCCTTTGTTCCTTCAAAACCCCACGAGTCCTCAGCAAAGGTGGAAAGCAGAGCCATCAGTAGCAGCTCATCTGAACTCCTGAGACAGCAGCCCAAGTGGCTGGTGGAGCAGACTAGTATAGCACCCTGTGAACCCTCAGCTGGCAATAACATTGAAATTGTGAGTACTTCGCAGACTGCCAAAGTGATAGTCTCTGTCAAAGATGCGGTCCCTACTATTTTCTGTGGCAAGATTAAAGGCCTCTCGGGGGTTTCCACAAAAAACTTTTCCTTCAAAAGGGACATGCCCCAGGACTCCGTGCTGCAGTGTTACGATGTGAAGAACCAGCCAGAAGCCCGGGATAATGGAGAAGCTCTTAGGAAACCTATCAAAAATAGGAGTGTCAAATTAAAGAAAATGAACTCACAGGAAATACATATTCTTCCAATCAAAAAGCAGCGGCTTGCGGCCTTTTTTCCAAGAAAGTAATTTATGAGGTTTTAGAATGTTTTAACTATAATTATTATGAATAAAGAGATGCACTTCATTTTAAATTACATTTAAAACTTTAAACTATCCTTAAGTTATTTGGAGATGGAGGATGGTGGGGTGGGGTAGGGAAGACAGCAGGGGAAAACTGGGTATATCTTCCCAGTACAACAGCTCCCGCCCTTTTATTTCGTTCTGACTTTTCATGAAAAGTGAATAAAAAGCAACATATTTTTCAAGCAGATTGCACATTTTGCAGCTTTAATGGAATATAATGGATGAGTGAGTCAGAGGGGGAAGAGCTATTTTCACTGCCATAAAGTGCTTTGATGATGTAATTCTGAGCAATGGTGAGTAGAATGAAACTTTCAGAATAAATGTTTGTATGTGCTAGTTTGGTTGCAGTATTTTGTACTATTATAATTTGCACTCATTGTGGCACAAGTCTAAAAATTGTAACAGTCACCTATATTATTTCTTCAGCTGTTAAAATAATCCAAGCTAATTTAAATTATTTTCAGATCTGCATCATAGGTGCTTCTCCCCACACTTAATAACAATGCACTTTGAACTGTTTACTAAAACAAAATGAATGATACTAATACTCATTATGAACTCCAACAAGTGTTACCCTTATAGTAATTAGTCCTATGAAAAAGTCTGTTCAGATTACATGGATTATTTTGAATGCAAAAATAGGACTTTGAGATGTTTTAGTCATTATTTTCATTTTGGATTTTTGCGATTTCTTATGCCAGTGGAAGGGAAGAATGGTTAATCATGTATTTTTTTTCAACATAAATGCTGCCTACTCAAATGGTGGCAGATGGATTTGTGTATAGGTAAGTGCACTGCTTTTAAACTTACTATATTGTGTTGTTTGTAATGGCTAAAAAACCAGAAGAAATAGTCCAGTAATTCAAAGTGTGATATTTCTGTAGCCAGGCCCCACTCATTTAGTAGTCCTCTTGACATCCTCACAAATAGCAAGGATTCAATCCTTGTGGCTTCTTTTTAAATGCGAAACATTTCTCTAAGACCACCCCTTCCTTTTGTTGCTTCATACATGTGCATCTTCCCAAACGCTTAAGTCAGTCTAAAGTTTCTTGTAAAATGGGTTCCAATGCTTCAGTCAGATTTACTGTTGTTTCTTAGCAATACTGTGTACAAGGTAAATTTCAGCATAAAATCTCTGAATAGTAATGTCCAATGCCATCTTTATATTCTAGACCAACATGGTGCCTATGCATGCCACTGTAAGCCTGTAAAGTGTGTGTGGAGGGGGTGGGGGGGTTCACTGAGCTGCTGTACCCTCCCTGTTAAAAACTTTACTGGCAGCTGGGATTGCTTCAAAGCAGAGAGAGAGCTGCCAGCCTCTGTCACCTTCATTTTCTCTGGATGGCTGCCGGACACATACAAGGTTCAGAAACATTATTAGGGAATTCAGATGTTGGGCAATTATAGGCTGATGCACCCAGCCACCAAGAAGAGAAGGGAAAGGTTATTCTTACCACATCTGTCTCGTGAGTTGGGTTGAGGCTGTGGGGAACAATGGCACAGCAAGAAAGGGCGGGAAAAAGCCACCTGAGCTGTACGAGGAGGCAGTAGGAAGCCTGAGGTAAGAGATACGGGGAGTCAGTTGGAGCCACCTGGCAAGCATGGAGGGCTGTGGGCTTGTACAAGTGAGTGGGTAGAAGGCTGCATGTATGTGAGAAAGCAGGCGATAGCAAGGGTTTAGAGCAGATCTTGGGACATCTTGCAAAGAGTGCTCTTTTTTATTTCTGCTGCAAGGAAATTGAGAAGAAAAGGTGTGTGGGGAAGGGTGAGAGAATGAGTGTGTGTTTACAGGTGGTGAGCTGGGGTGGAAAGGTATGTATGGGTGATGATCCAGAGTGAGTGAGAGAGAGAAAAGCTTTATGGAAGAATGAGCTGATTGGCAGAAGGGGAATGGAAAGGGAAAAAGTTTACTATCTGGTGTAGGTTTTCTGTGTGCTGGTGCTCAGACCACCTCTACTTTGTACTTGGTCTTTGAGACAGGTTGCCAACACTTTTTTAAATCACTCTTTTAGAACTATTATAAATTATCACTGGTTTTTTCCCAATTTAATGTGTTTCATCATTGGCTTTGTTTTTATTATCTATGGTTCTTAGAGCTTCAGCTATAAGGCAAACCATACAATGAATAAATAATTAAATTACCGTTGTAGATAATGGTACATCACCTGCATTCAGAGGCACTGTTCTCATACTAGTAGCTTTATTAACTGTTTGAGCCATAAATAAGAGTGACACTGTGAACCTTCTTTGAAAGATAAGATGTACTGTATAGACTTGCCACCAATCTGTTAAAATATGTGGGTCCAGCTACAGTGGACCACCCTCAGAGGTTTACGGATCTCAAGCTTTCCTGATGGTATTGGGAAATTTTTCTACCAATATGGCTGATAGCCTTATTGAGAACCTGCTCCAATTGTTCCAGTTTGCTATAAAGATCGCTCATCAATGTCCTCTGTCCATAAAATCAAGGTAATGCTTTTGTTTTCAGAAAATCTTTCAGTAATGAAATCAATGGAGAGATGACTACAGCAGTACTGGAGTGGGACTCGTGACTGAGCCAATCAAACAGGGTTGTTGTTGTTGTTAGTCGAGAAGTTGTGTCCAACCCATCATGACCCAATGGACAACATTCCTCCAGACTTTCCTGTCCTCCACCACCCCCGGAGTCCACTTATGCTCACACCAACTGCTTCAGTGACTCCATCTAACCACCTCATTCTCTGCAGTCCCTTTCTCCTTTTGCCTTCCATCATTCCCAGCATTAGGCTCTTCTCCAGTGAGTCCTTCCTTCTCGTTAGGTGGCCAGAGTATTTGAGTTTCATCTTCAGTATCTGGCCTTCTAAAGAGCAGTCAGGGTTGATCTCCTCTAGGACTGGTTTGATCGCCTTGTGGTCCAAGGGACTCGCAGGAGTCTCCTCCAGCACCACAATTCAAAGGCCTCAATCCTTTTGCGCTCAGCCTTCCTTGTGGTCCAACTTTCACAACCATACATTGCAACTGGGAAAACCATAGCCTTGACTATACACACTTTTGTTGGCAGAGTGATGTCACTGCTTCTTAGTATGCTGTCTAGAATTGCCATAGCTTTCCTCCCCAAGAGCAAGTGTCTTTTAATTTCTTGGCTGCAGTCCCCATCTGCGGTGATCTTGGAGCCCAGGAAAATAAAATCTGTCACTATTTGACCATCTACCTGGAGCATTTTCCCTACTTTCTTCAACTTAAGCCTAAATTTTGCAACAAGAAGCTCATGATCTGAGCCACAGTCAGCTCCTGGTCTAGTTTTTACTGACCGTATAGAGCTTCTCCATCTTTGGCTGCAGAGCACATAGTCAATCTGATTTCTGTGTTGACCGTCTGGTGATGTCCATGTGTAGAGTCGTCTCTTGGGTTGTTGGAAAAGAGTGTTTGCTATGACCATCGTATCGTCTTGACAAAATTCTACCAGCCTGTGCCCTGCTTCATTTTGTACTCCAAGGCCAAACTTGCCTGTTATTCCAGTTATCTTTTGGCTTCCTACTTTAGCATTCCAATCCCCCATGATGATAAGGGCATCATTTTTGGGTGTTAATTCTAGAAGGTGTTGTAGGCCTTCATAGAACCGGTCAACTTCAGCCTCTTCAGCACCAGTGGTTGGGGCATAGACTTGGACTACTGTGATGTTGAATGGTTTGTCTTGGATTCGAACTGAGATCATTCTGTCATTTTGGAGATTGTATCCCAGTACTGCTTTTCCTACTTTTATTGACTATGAAGGCTACTCCATTTCTTCTGAGGGATTCTTGCCCGCAGTAGTATACCTGATGGTCATCTGAATTAAATTAACCCATTCCTGTCCATTTTAGTTCACTGATTCCTAAGATGTCGATGTTCAGTCTTGTCATCTCTCGTTTGACCACATCCAGCTTGCCTTGATTCATGGATCTTACATTCCAGGTTCCTATGGTGTATAGATCTTTACAGCATCGGACTCTCCTTTCACCACCAGATACATCAGCAACTGAGTGTCCTTTCGGCTTTGACCCAGTTGCTTCATTCTTTTGGACTCTACTAGTACTCACCCTCTGCTCTTCCCCAGTAGCATATTGGACATGTTCCGACCTGAGGGGCTCATCTTCCGGCGTCGTATCTTTTTGCCTTTTGGTACTGTCCATGGGGTTTTCATGGCAAAGATACTGGAGTGGGTTGCCATTTCCTTCTCCAGTGGATGATGTTTTGTCAGAGCTCTCTGCTATGACCTGTCCGTCTTGGGTGGCCATGCACGGCATAGCTCATAGCTTCATTAAGCTACACAAGCCCCTTCGCCACAAGGCAGTGATCCATGAAGGAACAAACAGGGTTAGAACACACATTTTCTGGATAATGTAGCAATGAAGAAAATGGATTTTTTTCCAACCGTTGTTTCTACAGTTATGTCCAACAGATTTTTTGGAGTGGAACATTGGACTTGGTAGCCCATTGGGACCAATTGGTAAGCCACTTCATGGATAAACCACTCTTATGTTTGCCAACTTCATTAACAGGCAGTTGATGTACTTTTTGCAGCTGCTTTTCCTATAATAGATAATTTTCAGCTTGTGCTGAAGGACCTGGACAGTCTTCTAGGACTAGTAAGGATATTGGTGTGTGTGCTCAAATCTTTAGCTATTCTGTCTTGTTGAGGCGGTTGATGGGATGGGAGGACTGCCAAAGTGGGAGCTGTGACTTAATCCTTCACATGAGGGTTTGATCTAATCCTACTTCACAATAGGAGCAGTTCATCCTCTGTTGAAGACTCAGACACAGAATGTTCTTTATTAACTGTTGGACGATGTCAAATCTTCCATTTTTGGGTTAGGTGTCTGAGCATGTAGTGGTGATCCAAGGTTTTCTGGATGAAACTGATCATACTGAACCATATAATTTGGCAGTTTCTTGGGGTTTGGATGGAAACAGATTGTGTTGTTTTATTGATCACTTTGGGGTGATATATTCCAGTGGCATTGGATACCATCAGCTGCAGTAATCTGGTTCTGGGTAATACTGGAAAGACTCTTTGAAAGTTGCTCTTGGAGGACTGTTGCCCGTGCTTGGCTGCTGGTTTGTGGTGTCCTGCAGGTTGTTTTATATTCTTTTTTAAACATATTTATCAGCCTGCAGCCTGTGAGCTGCAAAAAGTCCCCCAAGATCTTTGTGTCCCCACCTATTTTAAATTTTACATTAAACAAAAGCAACAGCACCCCAATCTTGCAGATGATTTCCCTGCAACGGCCAATAACCTCTATGCCAATCACTCCCAATTTTCTCCTCTGGCTGCTGCTGAACCCAGTGCCAGTACCAGGAGTTCTGCCATTCAAGAAAAGAAACTTCTGCTAGTCAGTGTTCTAGCAGCCTACTTTGTGACTCGTGACCTGGTTTCTAGCCAAGAGTCTGGCAGGCCGCCCTCCATATGCTGCTGCAGTTTGCAGAAGTGCCAAAGACAAACTATTTACTTGCTAGTGAAGGGTTGGGGTTTCAGGGAAACAAAAAAAAAAGGCAGTGGACGTTTAAATAGTGGAACTTAAGAGGAATAAATTACATGAAACAAAATTGGGAAATAAAGTGTAAGAAACAAATGACTCCAGCTTTGTGATATTTACAGTGATAAAACAAAACAAAACCCCATGTTTTATTGACTAATAGTGAGATGAGATGGAGGGAATCTTGGGGGGAAACGCCATGGAAAATAATTCAGAAAAAGGGCACACAGGGAGCCTCCAATAGATCAGCCAGCACTCGATGCGAGTCAGATAAAGCAGTGTGTCTTTGATAGAGAGTGCACTGGGCTGTCACCAGTTTACTCAGTTCTGTCAGTCTTCACCATTTCAATCTGGGGATATTGCGGAAGTTCTGAACCTGTGCTTGGCATTGGAGGGCAGATGAGCAGAAATTAAATCCAGTTGACAGTAGCATACTAATGACAGTAGCATACAAGCCTACTGGGCCCGGAATGGAGTGCTGGGCTGCTTTGGATATGTTTCTATTTCCCTTAAAAGATCAGTTGACAATCTGAAGATATTCTTAGATTCAGTTTTACTTACTGTGGCTGAGCCCAGGAGTGGTTTTGCTGTTCCTGCCCACTTAGAAGTCAGACGTGTCCACAACCATACATGCCATAATTAACAGCTCTGTTAAACTACTGAACCATATGCTATGTGAGACTCCTCTTGAAAACTACTTGGAAACTTCCATTAGTGCAGAATATTGACTGGTGCCAGGAGTTGGAATATATTACTACTTTGCTGTATCATCTATACTGGTGCAACTCAAGATGCTGTTTACTTATGTTTAAAACTGAACAGTTTGAGACAAGCTACTTGAAGGACTGCTTCCGTTCACAGTAATATACCCACTTCAGTGAGGGCCTCTCATGCTTCTAAAAACTGCCTTCTAAGGAATAACGATGACTGTACACACAATTTTTATGTCAGCCCTTCCTGTGTGCAGTTCTACAAACTTAGTCCTCTGCCAGTATCTGAAAATCTCTTTTCCAACAGGCTTTTGGGTTTACTGCTGGTGAGAGACTTTAAATTCCAGATTTCTTGATTTCTGGTTTTATGCTGATTAATTTAACTGCTATTGCATCCAATAGCTAAAGCTGTTTTATTGTATTGCGCTGTAAAGTCAAGGTTTTTTGTTTTGTGTTATAGTTGCTTTGAAAGTTTCTGCTAGGGCAGGATATTGTGCAACAGAAGCATGATTTTAACTTAATTCTAATGCAAAAATAAGCAGCTGGGGAGTTTCCAAAAGCAGGGTGTGCATAATTGTCAATATAGCTTGTGGGATGGGAGACAAGTCAGCCTCACAGTGACATCTTAAAGCAAATCATGATTAGATCTCACTGCAAGGAACTATAAGCAGCAAGGGAGCATCAGGCAAAGCCAGTGGAATGCTAAGCAACTTAAAGAAAATACTAAGCTACATTTCTGAAGCTTAGGATGCAACTAAGTATGATCAGGATGCAACTTAGTACTTTGAACACCAGCCATGTCGTTAAAGGTTGGCTGAAATGAACCTTCACAGCCCTTTCACCCCTGTTCAATGGAACTTATTTTTTAAGCAGTAGGTGACAGGCTCCTTCACTTTTTTAATTCTGTGACTAATTGTCACAGATTCTTACTGAACTTGTTTAATATGCTATGGGTCGGCCACAAGAAACTTAAGCTTCCACCTGTTTTGATTTTAAGTTACTCCTTTAATACATCTCTTGGATTTCTTTGACAAGAACTTTTTGGCCTGATACAAAAGATGGCACACACAACCAACCAATTACTGCTTTATCAAGAAGGGGAAAAAATGTGTTAAAAAGCAAGCCTACCTTGTTTCACACTTTCTAACCAAAACCAAAAGTTAGTCCTGGAAATTTGCATTTCACATTTTGCAATGGAATTCTGCAGTCCATGTATTAGTGAAAATAATGTTCAGAAATGCATTATATTAGGCAAAATTGCATACAAAAATACACATTTTCATGCACACAAAATCATTTAGGAAGAATTGAATGTAAGATTGAAAAAATGATAAACTGGGGTACCAAAAATAACACTTTTATCCATGCCTACCTATTTTTTACTCCCCATAGGAAAGATCACTTTTATAAATTTGGAAGAAATCTTTAATTCCACAATAGACAGATTCTATTGTATACCAATCCCATAGTTAATGAAGAGGAAATAAACCTTAGAAAACCTTAGACACAACAAGCTGCATTAACAGTTGCCATTGTGTCAGTGGCCAAATCTTAAGAGGTCCTAGCCTGGCAAACTCTTGGTCCAGTAATGCTCTAGATTCCACCTGAAGACTAAGTGCAGCCACCACTGGCCATTCCCATAGAAGAGGAGAAAGGCATGCTCTCTACTTGTCTAGCAATATTGTTAAGAAGATTGCTAATCTAGCTCAATTGTTCTCTACAGTGGTTGGCAGCAGTTCTCCAGGTAGCGTGTCCTTCCCAATCATAGGGTCTGAACCTGGCCCCTTTTGCATGTAAAGCAAAGGCTGTACCCCTAAGCAATGTCTTAAACATATTCAAGACTGGGCACTTGTGTTGAAGTGTGTTAATTTAAACACTTTGACTTCAGCCTTTCTTGACAACAACCAAAAAAGGCCCCATGCGTTTATGCACAAACATCAACTACATCTGTTTAAAAAGTATTTACACCCAGATGTATCATGATGCTCCCCTTCAATGAGCAGGACTTAGATACTAAGTTCATTTAATTTCTTCATCTGGTCACTGAACTCAAGTATGTGCAATGAACTGCTATTCATCTTACTTGAAGCATTATTATGAACAGCCTGACAGAGTGTAGAATATAAATTGCGCAATTGCAGATTTGCATTAAGCAGTTGTGTATGGTATCACTAAAACAACTGACCAGTAAACACTGAACAAGTTTTATTTTCCGCTTAGATGAGAACATCCAGTTGAAAATAAAGAATTAATATATTCTGTTACAAACACTTGACAGACTTTGATATCATGCTCTTGTAAGAAAATGTCAGTAGGCATCTTTGTTCTTGTAGAGATGTATGTATTTGCTGCAGTACATACACTTCGTACTCTTCAATAGTAACGAACACAGCACATCAGCCAAATGCATTAGTGTCTCATTCTATAAAGGTTTTGTTTGGAGTATTTTAAAACCATCTGTAGCTTATATAACTCAATTGCATTGTGTTGTGATACTTTTCATCAAGTAGAGGAAATAAGCACATGCATGCAATGCTTTCATTTCCTTCATAAACTAATCAATTTTTAATATTCTATATCAGTGAATGGACTGATTCACACTGATTCAAATATATGTTAGTTTTTACAGTGTCTTTCATCCACCTGTTTTGTACATAAGCAGCATTCAGAAGTGTGACACTGCAGACAAGATGATCCAAGCATCCTTTATGGAAGTGGTGTTAACTCTGCAGCATGTGATTTTCTTCAAGTTCAAAAAGTAATTTGACAATTCCTTGAGTGGCTATATCTGTCTAAAGCAGCCTAGCTGAAAGCTGCAAAAAATGGTTCCTAAAGATCACAACCATCAATAACTATACCACATACCTACTATCCTTGGGACTGTCATTGAGATGAATGTATGTGCTTGTGTAATGTCTACCGAAAAACACTTGCATATGAAGCATTCGTAAAAGGTACTGCAAGCCTTTCTGCTAGTTTCTAAACAAATGCATGAACTTATGTATTTGCAACAATGTTGTAAAGCTCTATCAGGGTGGGGAAATGGTTTGTACACTCACAGCAGAAGCAACTTTTTAGCTGGCATAGTGAATTTTTAATAGGCTTCTCATCATAAAGACACGCTTCCAGAGTGAAATTATTTAAATCACACTGCAGTCATTTACAGAAATGCATACATCTGAAAATGGTTTTATGAATTTGCAGTATTTTGTGAAACCTGAGCATTTAAGTATACCAATAAGCAAGGCATTTTCCATTGAGTAATGTGTAAAAAATACTTTTTTCCCTTTAACTAGAAGCTTTTGATATAAAAAGGCAGTAAGAAATATAAAATCTATCCTCCTTTTAGGACTATGTTTTTTCTACCATCACTTGTACTATTACATACAGTACATTCAGTTCCCTACTCAGAAATTGTACATAATTGTCCCTGATATTATATTGGCAGTGACAGCAACTGTTTCACTATCCACACTTCTTGTAGCTTATAGAAAGAGCACCAAAGTTTCGGTAAAATACACACATTCATACAGAATTCAGCATCATTTAAAAATCTTCATTTTTTATATTTCAATGAAGTTGGAGAAGAAAAAAAAAAAAGACACAATCAGAACAATGTCACCCCATTCTTTTCCAGAAGTTTTCCCAAAACAATGGCTCAGCATAACATGAGACTTCAGAATATTGCATAGTGCAGGGAATTGCCTCCTATGAGCTCCCTGTCCATTGATTGATTGTTTCTTATCCCCTTCCATAATGCGGACAGGCATTAGTTAAAAGAAAGAGGACATATTGTTAGCCGACAAAGGCCATCTACATGTTGCAAAGGTGCTGTGGGACAAAATCCTTGCACCTAGTACTTAAAGCTGCACATGCAGAAATACCTTCACCTAAGGACTACACAGAACTTGTCTAGTCAGTCCTGCCAGCGAGAAATCATCTGCAGTGGAGCGCTAGAGCAGGGGTCTCAAACTCGCGGCCCGCGGGGCAGTTGCCGGGATGGACGGGGCACAGCGGAGGGGCCCTGCGGCCTTCAAAGCGCCGTGGGATGAGCGGCCCACCACCACCGCGGTGGTGGAATCCTTGATGCAGCCCAGCCTCACCCAGACTCTACTTCCAGCAGCCCCCAGGGAAGGTGAGTTTGAGACCCCTGCGCTAGAGGAAGTGGATCCAGGCCCTTTCCTTCCCCTCTCCATACTGGCCTCCAGCAGGCAATCTTGAACACTGATCTAGCCGTGTGATGTTGTTATCTATGTTATCTATATACTATATTCTAGTGCACAGCAGGATCTACATAGCCTGATACTGTGTGAACTGAGGCCAAAAGGTCGGTGTGTATGTTTGTTTTTTACTGCTAAAAAGTTGATCTCTACAGTTTCATATGTCACAGTGCAAAAAGTACCTTTTAAAAGACTTTTTAAAAAATCGAACACTATGTACAATATATATGCATGTACCACACCCACACAGACACACATAAATACGCAAGTACATGAACATAGGTTCATGCTGAGCTCTGCAGAGATGGAATGTTTTAAAATGGTAGGTGATATATTCCATTCAGCAAGCTGGAAATCTGTTTATTCATCTGGATTCACACTCAAATAAGCCATGAGAACTTCCTTCTCAAAAAATGGAATACTGCCAGCTTAAATTGTCAACATACTGCAAAATTTCCCCTCATAATTTAAAACTATAGTTTGATAAAAGCTTATTTGTTTTTAAACACACAGCACACCCGCACAGAACAATTCATATGGCTGTTCCCTTTGTGGAAATCTATATAGCATAATCTGAATATGAACCTCCTGGAGTACCAGATATAAAATAGTAACTGAGGAGTTAAATCAGCACAAACATTATCATCTTTTCCCACTTTATCATACTAATCCAACCACCTCTGCAAAAACTTTCAGATCCTGATTATTTTTAAAATCCTTTGGAATTCAGCTGTTTTGGTTCTGAATGAAAATGCACCAGCTGAAGCCAAACAGTTGAGAATACATTTGGCAGCTTCCAGTATAAATACTCCCAGCACTGCCTTTCCCCCTGCACCTTAAAAAAGTAATTAAATAGTAAAATGTAAAACATTTCCCTTTACAACAAATTTCCTATTTTGAGAAGAAATCTATCCCAACCAGTATGGTTTCAGACCATACTTTTTAAATAGAACACTGAACGCAAGTTGCTGGAAACTTGTTCTGTTGAAGCGAATCGGACCATCCTCCATCCTTTTCAGTCACTTGGTCAGCCAAGGTTCCTTCTGTATTATGCCCCTTCCCATTTTGTGAACCTAAGAGGTTGTCAGCGAAACACATAACCTTATCATTGTGCATCCATTGTCTAGTACTTTCCTTGTTTAAGTCGCTCAATGTGGTAACACAGCTTTAATGCTGGCCCCAACTTTAGCCCCATATATTTCATTATCATATCACTCCTCAGTAACAGCAGAGCTTTTCCATCAATTTCCTGGGGAGGGAGGACAGGGGAGAGAGAAGATAACACTGATTAATACATTGGTAAAATTTGGCTTCCGCATCCTTGATTAAGAGCATCGCATTGGACTTGACAAACTTGCACATCTGTAAAAAAGTCTAAACAATATACGGGAGTACAGATTATTCTAACTGGAGCAGCCATATTGGGGAGAGGGTGACAAATTGTAATCTAACATTTCTGAATTCTGAATCTCACATACTTTTACTATAAGGGAACCAAACATAGCATTTACAGTTTTATTGGGAATCCATCATCAATAGCTAATTACCAATCTAGCATGGAGCCTCTGGACCTCCTTTTTTAAAATCCTGTGCTAATGAGAATATTGGATATAATGTGGATACTGCTGTTGTGCATACTGGGATCTCCAGTGGGAGTCTGCTATACCCCAACAGTTTGTGTCTTAGACCGCATTTTTGAATGTTGCATCAGTACATTTATTTCTACACACACACTCAAAACACATGGTCAAGCTGAAATAATTTTCACATCTACCTTTATTTCCAGCTAGGGCTTTAGAGTGCCCCATTTGATTGATAGTATAAAAATGCTAGAAATGTTAAAATGTATAACTATAATTTAGAGCTAAGCTGCCACATTCATTTGTTGAACACAGGAAGCTCCCATTAGATTCCCAGCTACCTGATAGACCGACACTGTCCATATAAAAGGAATTGGCAATAGTTTCCAACCATTTGTAGCCTTGATCCCTATTAGTCAGTATACTGCAGCTGTATTCCAGGAAAGAATTCCATGTGTTCTGTTTTCATTTTCAGGCATAGGCATATTCAGTGCACCTAATTTAATTGCAGCTCCTTTTTAATGTTAAGACTGGGAGATGGTAGCCAGGGGTAGATCAAGAAAACTGTAATACTCCATATGGACAGAAACTTTTGGAAAACAGGAACCATTTTAGATTTCTAATTAAGTAGGATGAAGAAGAGGTGATAATTAAGATGCAGGGCATGAGGTGAACTGGAGAAACTGCTTAGAAAATGAATTCCACCACCTCACATGGATGGCCATCTCTTTCATTGCAGCCGGTGGCTCACCAGGCTAGGTTTCTCTGAAATATTTCCTGCAGGGTTTCTGGAAGAATGCACTGAAAGGCCTAGCCCTAAACCCTCCTTTGTCCCTCACCCAGGCACTGTATGAGTTTGAGATAAGACTACAACACTTTGAGCTCCATAGTGTTCAAAATGGGAAGATATACGTAATGTACTGAAATATTTGTAAAACTGTACAAAAGGACCTTGCAGACTACACAGCACTGGAAAGCATTTCCACTTCGTGTCATAACCTATGCAAGCCTGATCTTACAGTTGGATCCTTATCATTGATCCTGCTAATGTGCCTGGCAGTTAGAATGGCTTGACTGGTGAACTGCAAGAGGCAAAGCTTCCTCAGTGATGCTCCCTCCCTTCTGGAACTCCCTTGCTCCTTCTTTGCACTTTCAATGCAAGCCTTTACAAAAGTGTAAAGAACACAGTTTTTTCAAATCGGCATTTCGTTAGTAGCTAGTATGTTTGTTCCACACTCAAGCTAAAATTTGGCATAATTTGCTCAATTATGTTGTTGTCATTTTTGTACATTGATATGCTTCTATGTCCAGTGCATTTATAATTTAAAAACTGTTATGTAAGGGTCTTTCTTGGATAGAAATGTACTGAGAAAAATATATAAGTTGGTTTAGTCAGAGACAGAATTTATTGATGTTTTAAGCTGTGACAGTGAAGAATATGATACAGTGCAAAACATGTTGCTAAGATCTACTAGAATGTACTCTGAACATCCAGATACAGTTCTTGCAATTGTAAACATTAGTTTCAAGTCATAACTGCCTGTCAATGTATTTATTTATTCATTCATTCACAAGGGTGATCACCATTTTGCTGATTCACGTAATGTCACGGTAGCTCTAGGCTACAAGATATATACATCTCATTGATTACCAGAGCTTTATAGGACATGATTTAACAAGTGCCTTTTATGATAAGGGAAAGAGAAAAAGCATTTGTGGCAGCATGTAAAAAGGAAGAGTTTCTGCTTTTACCTGAACCTGGGAAAGAGGTCATACCCAAGATAAGAATAAACCTATCTTAGGCTGACATTTTCTGGTATCATTTATTCAGCCTAGGTTCATTACCAGCTGAAGCACAATGTTATGCATAGCATGACTCTCTTTAACCTAACACGCCACCAGCTTATGATGTTGCACACTAATGCTGCAAAAGAGCCAACTATCAAGCTGCTCAAAAGTGCTTTCTCATTTGCATGATGAATGCTGCTTCACTTGTGACTCAGGACAATCTTTTCAGACCCAGGATTCACCATTATTATTAACAATTATTATTATTATTCACCCTTATTTTTAACCAAGTCCTTATATGGCACTGGGCCTGCTGTTGTGACCCACCTGAGATGATTCAGAGGGTCCCAAACCACTACGACCAATCCATTTAATACCACCACTAATGTAAATTACATTGTGTTAACCTGTGTTATCCTGAAAACATCACTAGAAGTAGTTTATACTAGTTCTACGAGATTTAGATTAGTGCTAGTGCCTAATGATTTTGAATAAAAGGTTCTTGACATCACCTGGATGACAGGAAGACAAACCACATAATATACTGTAGTTGCAAATATGTGCGATGTCAAGGAGGGAAGCGTTCCAGTTATCCTTCTAGGTTACTCTGTGCTAATTAGTGCATGACTCAATTAGAAAGTTATCTAATCCTGTAATTGAGAGTGAAGATATACCTGATAAATAGTATGTTGTTATTCTGAAACAGAGAAATTAAGACCAATTTTAAAGAAAATATTTACTGAAATATGAAGTGAAATGTAAATATTATTACTATAACATTGCACTTGTATCTCACAACAAACAAAATATTGGTTAATTGATCAACTAATTTTACACTTACCAGGAAGATACTTTTAGAGTTACTGCAGGGTGGAAAAAAAGTGGGGGGGGAGGTGGATGTTATTTTGCTATAGCTTATGTTTAAACCCCAAGAGGGCAGGCTGAAAGGGGAAAGTTTGGTACATAATATGTAGATAAAAGATTGAACAACTGAGCTTTAGAAGGTATTTTATGCTCAAGCAAAACCTGAAAAACAACATTAATTCCACACAGGTTATACACACTCTGCACAGTCTAATCTGTGTATTTTCTATGATGCTCCTATAAATGATTACAAGTGAGAATTCTAGCCCCAAATTCTTACACAAACTGGATACAAAATTAGAACTTAGCGCCAACTCCCATAAATATTTCCTAACAAAAGCTGCAGGAAACTTTATGTAGGGGACTTTTTATCAAATAACCAGGGCATTAATACCTACAAAAACAAACATGCTGAGGTGGCATCATGAAATGACACAAGCATGGGCTTCTCCATTACTACCTAACCCACTTCCACTCTGAAATGGTAAGAAGTCATGGTAAGAAGTCCAATGCAGAATATGATCGAGCATAATGGATCATTCAAAGCAGGTATATTTTAATTTTTAAAAAGCAAGTGCACTCTGGTGGGAAAGGCAGAAAATCTAAAGTATTTCCAACTTCAATAAAGTTAAAGTTGGAAATACTTTTCCCCTCCTCCCCGCAGCTGTTCTACCATGTAATACAGAATACTGAATTTTAGAATGTATGCATATGAGGTAGCAGTAGTAGAAGAGGAGCAAAGAGCTTTCTTACATGTCTTCTGAAGAGTTCTGCATGGGGTGCTAATGCCTGAGGATCAGCTTCTTTCACAAATCGCATCACTTCATCTATCGACCATGTTGTGGGGTCCTTACTGTGTAAACGGGAAGGCTCCCTTTTTAATGCACTGAGGTCAGGTCCTGTTGTAGAGCTTGCAGCTTAAGTATACAAAATGATGAAAATGAAGATGGCAGAATGTCCTTGCAACTGTTACATTTTGAGCATGGCCACACATCTCTGTGTGCTTCAGAGTTTTATATCCATTTGTGAACAGAAAGAAAATAGGCCACATCTCATTGTTCCCTGTTGTTCTTTATGAATGCCACTCCATATGATCAGCATTATCTTTAATTCTGGTTAAGTGCTTGTGGTATAATTTGTACTGTGGCTGAATATACATATCAATACATTTGGGGTGAAGTCAAGGGAAAATATTCACATGTAAGAATGATGTAAGAAAATTATTATACAAAGCTTTTTACAGTTATAAATAATACGTTAACAGCCCATTAGGCTTCTTTCCTACAAGAAAGACAAGACTGTCTTGTCTTGTGTACACTGTCACTTACGAAATGGAACAAGAAATGATAATTTTGCAACACAGTCACGGGTTAGGAAGGCTTGAAAAACAGGACTTACACCAGAACAGAGGTAAATGAGAAAAAACTGTTAACTAACTCCTCACAGATCATCAGGCTGGTGCAGGTACCTAAAATTCTCTCAAAGAGGGCAGAAATTTTCAAGTGTGTTTTTTTTCCTACATATATTTGGTCATTTCAACATTAGATCTTCTATAGCCAAGTCTAATGAGAAAACACTCTAGGTCAACTCAATGTCTATATTTTAGCATGTCCGCTAAGAAATTTTTTACTCCTTTTTCAAAGACTTGTACACCTGGTGCCTTTGGAGTCCACTTACATATTGAAAAGGGTACAAGGTTCTTTCAAAAGGCTCAAACATACCTTCAATCCTCCTTTGCAGTCTGTTCCTGTTGACTTCATAGTAACTGTTGTTCCCAGCAGAACTTGATGATAGTCTCCGCAGGATTGGTGCTGTGTTTGAGGTAGCAGTCACTGGCGGAAGAGAATTCCTGTAATAGGCTACACTCCCTGAGGTACGACATTCAGTGGAATTCCGGCAGTTTGGGCTTGAAGGATTAACTGAATTTAGTGCAGAATCCATTGAGTCCTCAGAAAACCTGTGTTCTTTGGGGGTGCCATTTTCTTCACTGGGCAGGATTTCTGCTACATAAGATGATATAACATAAACAGTTTATTATACAGTGTCCCCATGCCTGCATCTGTGGAATGCCTTCTTAGAGAGATCTGCCTGGCATCTTCACTATATATGTTCAGAAGCCAGGTGAAGAGCATCTTCTTCCAGCAGGCATTTATTTTGCTATTCGTTTTTTAGTTTTCTAAAATTATACATACATACATTGAATTAATTACATAGCAATGGATGCATATGAAAAGCAGTAAGTATCCATTTCAGGGTGTAATGTATATGCCACTCATTCAAATGCTGAAAGTATTATCCTCAATCCATTGCAGTACAAGAGGTGAGCATTTCTCTTTCTAATGGTGAATATCAAGTCTTTTAGCTGTCAACAGGGTGCAGAGACTCTGTGCTGACAATTCCTTAACTTTCATGAAGCAGGTAAAGTTTAGACATGTGCATACATCAGCAAATATGAAGGACTCTTCCAGTACAAAATCTATCAGTAAATAACCTCCTCCTCCTCAAAAAAATTCAAGAGGATTATGAAATCTGGTTCTATTTTGCTCTATTTATATCTTTGAGATGCATTTGAAGTAATAGCCAAACAGTGTAAGCCAACACATTTCACAATGTAAAGACAACAGGATTCAGGTCAGATAGAAGTGAACCAACACTGTTAAGTCCACTAAATGCATGCCAAATAAAAAGGTGACTGGCAGATCAGATTTAGAAATATGTAGTGATGAATCTATACCTGACATTTTTATTTTATAGCGATATGCACTTCCAACCATCTTTACCTGCTCCTTCACAGGGCCGTTACCTATTTCAGTGAACTGGACTGCTCTGTCAAATGGTAATGAAGAAATGTTTCATAAGATGTCAGGAATGAAGAACAACCTTAGCAAATTCTTTTGTAGGATCAAACACTGCACTTTAAAAAAACCTTGACATACTGTAGTGAAGCCACACCTTTCTATTCATTCCCCTTCCTTGTCTATGGCACTTGGAAAGCAAAGCATTGGCTAACTCAGGAGTGGACAACTCATAGTCCTCCAGATGTTCTGGCCTACAGTTCCCATCATTTGGCTGTCCCTGGTAGGACTAACGGGAGTTGTAGGCCAAAACCTGTAGAGAGCTACAAGTTGCCCATTCCCATGGAGACTAGCAGCTTCTTCCCCTCTGGCATGGAGGGAATCTCCAATGAGCAGCTGATTGGAAGCAAAAGCTTTTTCCTGCAGGGCAAAGGTTAGGGAACAAGGGAGAGGTTCTGAGTAGTTCAGTTTGGCTTCCTTCTACCATCTGCCATTCTTCTCCAATAGCATCATGAGGTCAAGGATTTTGGCCTCTTTGTCCCTTATGACCAGCACACATATGGGCTTTATGCCTCTGCAAAGCCTACTATCAGGAAGCGTTTATAGATAAACATCCATGTGGGCAGAAGCCCCTCCCCTTCCTGTTCCCAGGAAGTGTGGAGAGAGGCTCCTGCCCATCCCTCAGCTCCTATGAAGATCACCATGTATGTCTGGACCAAGGGGAAGAGAAAAAGGATCCAAGTTTTGATGAAAAATAAAGAGGCAATGTTGGCAGGACAACAACCAGGGCAGATAGAAAAAATAATAAGTAAAGTTGGATAAAGAGAGGCGCAGGCAACTCGAGAGGACATGATGAATGGTGGTTGAAAAAGTGGGTAGAAAACTGGATTTTTGTAGATGTTTTTCTTTTTAATAAAGAGTGAAGAAGACAGGTTGTCAAAGGGAAGAACAGAGGGAGGTTTGTTGTAGGTAAAGGAGAGGAAAAACACAACAAAGAATGCTGAATACCTAGGATGGAAGAAAGAGAAGTGATTCCCAATCTAGATGTGATGGCAGTTGAAAAGAATTCAGGGGATGGGTGGGAGCCTCTTCCCATGCTTCTTGAGAACAGGAAGGGGGGGCTTCCATCTACATGACTGCTTAGCTATGGAAGCTTCTTGACAATAGGCTCTGAGCAGGTGCAAAGCCCATATGCATATTGCACAGAGACCATGAAGAAGAACAAATTTTCCCAGGAGTATCGTATGCCTTATCTTGCCCTGCCAGGTGAGTATGATTGCATTCTTCATTACCACTTATTATCACTGGTCACAATTCAAACTCAGCCAAGGAAAGATTTTGTCCATGCCTAGCAGTAAAATTTGGGGTTGAAATGTGGGGTGTTCATGTTTATCCCATGTTTATCCCTATTGACTATGAAGCTCATCATGGAGCCATGGGTTTGTCAATATTTTGCCGAATGTTACAATCTTTTCTCCAAAGGCAGTTGTTAAAGTAATTGATTTCTTTAATGAAGAACAGAATTCAAATGTAATAAATGGAAGCAAAATTCTGTTTTATGCTTAAAGCAATGGAAAGGTAGAAGACAGCATATATGGGCACAATTATAAGCTAACTGTGCACATCAAGAATTTATAAAGCTATCTAGAGGGCCTTTTCCGATACAAGACAGGATAAAAATGTTTTACATAAGTACACAAATAAAGGCACTTTGAAGAAAAACTTTTGTCTTCTGTTTAATATGAACAAAATTCTTCCCCAGGGTGAAGCTTTTCATTTGTCTCAATTCAGATCTACTAACTTATAATGGCAGCTGCATCTTTCTGAAAATGACCACTCTGTCTGAAAATCAGACATGCTGTGGAAATCTCTTCCTAGCAGGACATGTCAATACAATACAATGGTGAACAAATTACATGAAAGTAAACCAAGCTGAAATCAATACAGCTTACCATTGGTATTACACATATTGGCTTCTGAGCCCATCATAGTCCTGTATATATATACCCAGAGCTGCCCATGATGGTCTACAGTGAGAGTATTTCACAGTCTGCAACCATCAAGGATAACCTGATGCACCTGTTTGTTGACTATCCACTGTACATATGTTCAAATCAGTCTGGGAACTGTTGCCAGGGGAAGATGAGAAGTATATTTCATTTGTCATACATCTGATAGTGTTCAAGTGCTAACCAGATAGATAGTTTTACTATGCTCCTGACAAACGTGCTCAGAATTGCAGCAAGCATTGTATGACTTACTTTACTTCACTCCATTATCAAAGAAAATACTGGTGTAGCTACCTTCTGATGGGTGGGCTTCAGTTCTTGGGAGTTTAGGAGACAGGGGGACAGTATAAGGTGGTGAATCCTGAGAATACCGCTTTGCACTTCTATTGTCTGAGATTTCCTCTTTTGCTGCCAAAATTCAAGAAATAAAAATATCAACACATTCAGCAGTTTTTCTTTAAATACATAAACAGTAAAATGTCCACTTCTGAGAATTTGTTATTCACATTGAGCTTTCATTTTAGTCTCACTTTTTCTACATGTAAACCTCCACAGAAATCTTTCCAAAGCACTTTCACTGAAGAAAATCATGATGGCTCTAATAGCCAGCTCAAGTATAAGGTGAGCGGCTTCTTCCACAGTGAACACTGAATCAGAGGTTGATCATGTGCTAGAGGGCCTCAGCTAATTTGCTCAGCTATGTGATCTCTATTTATCTCACACATGCATGATCTTTTTATAAACTGGAAGGTGGGTTAAAATCAAAATTACATATAATGCAAACTGACAGTAAAGTTATACGTTCACCTTATCAGCCTAAATCAAAAAGTTTGAAGTACAGCAAAAGCTAAATGCATGTTGCAGTGTTTTCATTTGTATTGAAAAGTTGGTTTTGATAGAAATATGTTGTGCTCTTTGTTTATAGCATGTTAATTAATGTTCTGTTTTATTTAGTAATGAAAACTCATAGACAAAGTATTCTGAGATGAAAACCCATACAGCTATAACTTGCCTCATAAGAATACAGCAGACTTTTACCAACACTGATTAGCCATGGATCTCACAAGTTAAGATCTCACAAGATTTTTTTCCAGCTTTACCTGGAGATGTCATGAATTGAAGCTGGGACTTTCTACATGCAAAGCATGTACTCTACCACTGAGCTAAATATTCCCTGTTTCAAAGTTCTAGCATGTTTCTATCAGGTTCAGATCTATCTACAATGTGAGGTCTACACGGAGAGTAAGCCCCATTAGATGGAAGATGTGATTGCGTAGCTGCGCACATGATTGATTGATTGATTTATATCCTGCCTTTTTCCTACAAAGGGCTCAAGGCAGCTTACATCTCCTCCTCTATCTTATCCCCACAACAACGCTGTGAGGTAGATTGGGCTGAGAGTCTGTGACTGGCCCAGAGTCACCCAGTTGGTTCCATGGCCGAGCGGGGACTAGAACCCAGATCGTCTGAGTCCCAGTCCCATGCTCTTAACCACTACACCACACTGGCTCTCATATCACAGTGTAAGGTGAATCTGCAGTAGGCCTTCTCCCTTTCACTATAGGGCCTACTGCTGTCCATTTCAAGACTGGGAGTAATCTCAGGCAGCCATCATCCTGACTTGTCTTATCAAGGAGCACGGCAGGACAGCCACACAAGCACACACAGGCTTTATTATCAGATCAAGGCTGCAATCCACTGAATTGCTTCCAATTAGGTGAACATAAGGCAAGGCTGTAAAGCACAAACAATACCACTTTAAGCACAATGGTCATAAAATTAGCTAACACTGAAATTCACAAAGATCCTTTCTACTATACTTTTTTAAAAATGCCCACAACAAATCCTGAAAGTAAACGGTGAGAGCAGGGGAAGAATAAATGTAATTTAGACCATTACCTGGCTTGTTTCGATCATATTCTGTTGGACTATGTGCACTTCCCATGAAAGGACTAAAGGGCTGGCTACTAAAAAGATTATCACACTGGAGGCTGTGGCAGAGTTTCTCCAAGAAGCGCAGGACAAACGATGCACTGTTTACGGAAGGAAGACTGATGGCATGCTTCTCCCCATCAAATGAAGCTGTTAGTAAAAATAAATTAAAACATCCAAACTATTATTTATTATTTAGGAGACTTCTATGCTGCCCCATTCGCCGAAGCCTAGGGGCGGCTCACATCCATAAATAAACTTCCATAGAATAATACAAATTAACAGTATAAATTAAGTCGCCCTGGCCAAAGAATAAAATGAATAAATACTATTAACAATTAAAATGACATTTGAATAAAAAGGTATTTGCCTGGCGCCAAAAAAGAAATAACGACAGCGCCAGGCGGACCTCTCTGGGGAGCACACTCCATAGATTGGGCGCCACCGCAGAGGAAGCCCTCCTCCGATTACTCACCCTCCTAATTTCCTTCACGGAGGGTTCCCGGAGAAGGACCTCTCCCGCTGATCTCAGGGGGCAGGCAGGCATATATGGACGTAAGTGCTCCTTCAAGTAACCAGGACCCAAGCCGTTTAGGGCTTTATAGGTCATCACGAACACCTTGAATTGGGCCCGGATTCAGTGGGAAGCCAGTGAAGCTGACGGAGGACTGGAGTCATGTGAACATAACACCCAGTCCCTGTCAGCAGCCTGGCAGCTCTATTTTGGACCAATTGAAGTATCCGGACCGTCTTCAAGGGTAGCCCCACGTAGAGCACGTTACAGAAGTCAAGTCAGGAACGCACCAACGCGTGTGTCACTGTTGCCAGGCAGTCGTACTCCAGGTAGGGGCGCAGCTGATGGATCAGCCAAAGCTGAAAGAAAGCGCTCCTCGCCACTGCTGTCACCTGAGCTTCCAGTGAAAGCTCTGGGTCGAGGAGCACTCCCAAGCTGCGAACCTTGTCCCTAAGAGGGAGTGCAACCCCATTCAGGACTATGTTCAATTCACCCTCCCCGAAGCCCGATCTGCCAACCAACAGGACCTCCATCTTGTCTGGATTGAGCTTCAGTTTATTGGCCCTCATCCAGCCCATTACCTCAGCCAGGCACCAGTTCAGCACAGCCACTGCCTCACCTGGATTGGTGGAAAACGAGAGGTAGAGCTGGGATCAGTGTACTGATGATTCCGCAGCCCACACCTCCTGATGACCTCTCCCAGTGGTTTCATGTAGATGTTAAACAGCAAAGGGGACAAAATGGACCCCTAACGTACTCCATGGCATAGCTGCCATGGTGCAGAGCCATAGTCCTCCAGCATCACCTTCTGGAATCGTCTGTTGAGATAGGAGCGGAACCACTGCAAAGCAGTGCCTCCGACCCCCAATCCCGCTAGCCTATCCAGAAGGATACCATGGTCGATGGTATCGAAAGCTGCTGAGAGGTCCGGAAGAACCAACAGGGACGCATTCCCCCTGTCCTTCTCCCTGCACAGGTCATTGTACAGGGCGACCAAGGCAGATTCAGTACCGCACCCGAGTCTGAAGCCGGACTGAAATGGGTCCAGATAATCAGTTTCATCCAAGAGTACTAAGAATATGAAATAGGATATGAAACAGAGCCAAACAAGAGTAAAGCCTAAAACAAGAACTTATCCCCTTTTGGCTGATACAAAGTCACCAAAGGAGGCAGAACCTTGTTCTGTATTGCTCAAATTCTCATTGCAGCACTTAGTTTCAAAGCCTGGAACAGCATCACTTATCCATGTGGGAATTCTGAGCAATTTGCTTCAACTATTACAGTGGATTTTTCAAAAATATGGTGCCACTCAGATGCAGGTAGTTGAAAGTGAAGGCTTCTGATCTTCACAATAAAAGAGTGTTGTGTTTGGGCCAGCAGAAGCACAGTACCCAGCTCCTCTGTTGCCTGCCTGTACATTTTGTGTTCTCTGCTCTCATAAGCCAAGGACATCAGATATTACAAGCTGAAGGTGCTGCCTATTTTGTTTTATACTTGGGAATGGTTGCTTTCTGTCTGAAAACACTGTACCAGTACAACACTAAATAACAGTTCTACAATTTTATTTAAAAATCGAATTACTTTATCAATCTAACATAAAATGTCACTTATACATCTTCTAACCATGTTATATAAATGTATATAAAATAATGGTTTCTTACAGCTGAAGCATGATTCACATCTGTTACATCTTTGTTATGAGACTGACACTTCCCTTTGTGTTTGGAAGCATATGCAGAAGATCTGTACAAAGACTAGTTGACCCTTCATAGCATGCAGGTCACAATGTTATATTTTAATACTGCTACACAGGGGGTTTATGGAATCTTAATTAAACCTACATACCAGAGAACACCGTCCCCATCTGGTATTCATATAGGGATACTGAAGTAGGGTAACCCCTTTTGAATGCCTGATTTATGCATTACTGTGTTAACCTGTGTCCTGACAGTTTCTCCTAACAGCAGAAAAGGGATAAGCAGAAGTTTCAAAATAAAATTAAAGAAATTAACACAGCTGCTTTTAAGGTTTATTTGAGAAAAAGATGACACAGTTTCATAGAAAAAGAGAAACTGCAACAGCAACTCAGTTTAGACATATGAACCTATTTACAGGGAATAGGAACTCTTCACTAAAAGAGCAAACTACAGGGCATGCAAATGTAGGGAAGGACATGCAAATATAGGGAAGTAATAAATAACAAATATTACTTCCATTGCTTTTTAAATGCTTAGGTTAATATAAGCATATTTTATATAAAGAATACCTAGTAGTTTCCTATTTAGTACTGCACCAAAATTAGCAAAACAATTTGCACTATTTCACCAAAACTGAATACAGCTGAGAAGCTAAACTATAGTGCTGCTACAGCCTGTCTACTTCCTGAACTCTCTGCCTGAACTGTGTCAAGGACAGCTCTTTCAAAAACAATAGAAACAGTTATACACGTCATCATTACCCATGTGTTTAGTTTTTAGTGGCTCCTAGTTTGTTTTATTGATTTTGCTGTCTCCTGCAGGTTCAATTATAGTATTTTATTATGTTTAGTTTCTGATGCAATTTAATTGTATTTCATTATTTACTGTCTTAAAACTTTGGCCATGTTTTCCTATAACAATAAGCCAGAATTATTCACTTATCCTGGTTTACTATGAACTCATTTGTTCCTCTGTGAATGAGTAAAAAGAATCAGAGATGGAAAACTTCATAGGAAATCCAAATTGCGGCTGATATTTTGCTCCCAAACAAGCCAGACTCATAAGATAGGAAAAAAGCAGGAATACATGAGGAGCATATAGCAGCAAGATACTCATTCACAATAAGCCAGGATAAACGAGCAATCTTAGCTCATTGTTATTTGCAAATGTGGCCACTGTAAAACAGTAGGATACCAATCTGTAAGTAAATAAAGCAGTACCTGTGATCATCTCTCCTGCATGATGTCCTGACTTGAGGAATCCAAAGACAGTTTTTGATTGATAGGCACAATCTACGCAGGCCTGCACAGCTTGCTGAAGCACCACATTCACAGGACCTGGTCCAAAGTGATCAGGAAGCTGCTGAACCTTCTTTTTATCCAGATGAGGCCCAGAGTTTCCATGTTTGTTAACATAGACACAAACTGAAAGGCAAAATCATGAATAAATACCTTTTTTGAGTCTGGAACATATCTTATAACAACAAGCAATATTCTGGTAAAATTCTATAAGCACTTGTGAGACTGGTCAACACTTACATATTCAAATATATTTTATACATTGTTGCATCTATTTGAGAGCTCTGGCTATCAGGTGGTATAGAAATTGCATATATCTCAAAAGCTTGCCTGTGACTACAAATTAGGCTGCATTTGAGAAATTAAGAGGGGCAGCTGGTGCTCTGCATTTAAAATCCATCCCTGCCCAGTGTCCACATAAACTACTCTGCACTTGACTTTACTTTCAAACCCAGTGAGAGGAGGGTCACACATTCTTGGCACATGTTAAACAGCTCGCTGTACTAGTCAAAAAGATATTGCTGTCCATTGCCTCACCCAGAATTAAAGGGAAACAAAACTGTCTTCAGAATGAACTGTGCTCACTCCACGGTTTTCTTTTTTGTCCTCAAAATACCTTTGAGAATACCGAAGATGTAGATCATATCCTATTCCCTTATTCAGACTGGCAACAGGGTCTGAAATTGCCTGGCCTTAAAGTTGCACTGGATCTGTGGCTAAAAATCCTTCAACATGTATAGTAAATTTATAGTCTGCTATCAATACTTATGTTTAATTTCCATTCAACAATGGGAAAATTGTGTTAAAGATGGGGCTTAAAATGACAAATTCCCTATTAGAGATGGGCTTGAAACTCCTACTGCTGTTGATTAGTGGGGTAATTTTGGAATTGCTGCTGCCACTGCATACTGTAATAAATGTCCACTGTGAGAAAGGAAGGAACAACAACAGGATGACTAAAATTGTTTACAATTGTGGATTACGGATTGTAAACAAAAGGTAAGAAGTAGGTCAGAAAGAGAAGGAAACAAATAGTGTTCAGTAGCACGTGAGTAGGATATAACCAGGGGAATAACTAGAGTAAAGAAAAATAAGAACAGAAAGGTGCTGCAGGACAGCCAAGCTAAAAAAGAAATGTAGTGGGATAAGAAGTAAGGGAGAAAAGCAAGCACAATTTGAGAACAAAGCAAGAAGGGTGGAAAGGAAAGGGCCTAAGATAAACATACTTAGAGATGCAGAAAAGTGAAAGAACAGGAAGTGGAAAGACTTGTTAGCAACTAGGGATGTTAGACAAACCCACAACAGAGTCAACCTACAAATTCTGTAGTGGACTGGCTTTTCCCCATTACAATGACTTTCATACTGATTATTTTAAAGCTTTTAGAGACACTTGACATTAATTCACATTAATAAAAGTGTGCAAGTTTGCATTCACACTCATGTAGTGATGCATTTATATTGAAATTTTGATTTTAAAAAGATCTGATTCTTCCAATGAGTGGATATTTGAAACAAAGAGACCCAACAACCTGCAAAGCATAAAAGTAATGGATTTAACAAACTCTATGTACCTCTATAAACAAGTAGATCGTAATTTATAAAACACAGGGAGTGGCTTATGAAAATAGAAATGTTAGGATGAAAAGGAGCAACAATGGTGGAATGGGCCAAGAGAATAGGACCATACCCCACAATGTTTCAATGGATGTACACTTCTGTTTCTAACAGAGCAAGATAATTCTTCGGTCTTGGCAAGGAAGAAGCAAACTGCTCAGCCAAGCAAGAATATCACAAAACACAGCAGAGCTCCTTCAGCAATTCAGACCTTCCCCATGGAGCAGAACACTGCTAGCACTGAGGACAGTAATTTATTTTCTTAGAAGGGACTGAAGCTAAAGGACAGGTTGCTGACATCAGTGGGCTCACAGAGGCATGTGCTCTATTTTCCAGTGACACTGCATGGTATAGTAGGTGTACTATCTGGAAATATCCCTTTGCATCCAACTCTGAAAGCCGGGCATGGACTAACAGCACATTAGTCCAATGTTAGTTCTCCTGCATGCATAAAAGGCTTCAGGCCTGGTGTTGGAACACAAACTGCCTTAGAGGGCAGGGAAAGTGCATGCATGCTGATTCTTTTGGACAGCCAGCAGCTTTCGATACCATTAACCTTCTGGAAGCTACCTAAGCTCAGAGTTGAGATGTAGTACAATATTATGCCACTCCTATTGGATGGCCAATTCCAGAAAGTGGTGCTGGGGGTCTGCTGCTGTCGTTTGGCAGTTCTGTCATGGGGTGCCACAAAGGTGTTTTATTTCCCATTACATGAAACCACTGGGGTAGGTCCTCCAGAGATGGGGATTGAGGTGCCACCATTATGCAGTGACACCAGCTCTCTCCCTCCTTTTCATCAAATGCAGGTAAGGAACTGGATTTTGAACCAGTACCTAGGTGTAATAATGGACTGGAAAGGGATCAAGAAAGTGATACTCAATTTAAACAAGACAACAATACCGTTACTGGATAGTCCAGGTGTGTGCGTGGAGGGAGGGTGTCTCCACTCAAGATTGGCTTCATAGTTTCAGGGCGTCATTTGCAGTGGTTATTAAGTCTGTGTCAGGGCCTGATTCAAAGTACTGGTATTAACATTCAAAGTCTTAAAAGGGTTGGGACCAAGTTACCTGAAGGATTTCTTTCTCTCATATATACACGTACCTGGACCCTAAGATCAACTTGGCAGTCTTTCTCTAGTGGTTCTCACTAAAGGAAATGAAGTACAAAGAGGAGGGGCTTTTCTGATGTGGAAATCCCCTTAAATTTAGTATTGGATTTTTATTCTCTGCAGTGTAGATAGGTTCTATTTCATTATTATTTCTATATTGCGGTTTTAATAGTTTATATTGTATTCTATCATCTTGTGTTTTATGTTTTTAATGGTTGCAACCTGCTTACAAAGCTTGGACTACTGAATGGTATAAAATGCAATAAATACATTTAAAACACTTATCCATTCAAACACAAAAGTAAAATGAATATTCAAAACCAGTGTCAAACCCTCTTAGCTATCTTCAGAACTTTGCTTTGCGTAAATGTCTTTAACCATGCAGAACTCCAAACTACTTTTCTGGTAATTCTGTAACCTTCAGCTTATGGCCCCAGAAAGGACAAGCATCTTTTGTGTGTGTGCAATAGATGATCTCTTTACCTGTTGAAATGACAGCTGCCATTGAACCACTGATAGGCCCATCTTTATGTATCTGAGAGGTGCTGTTGTCCACTTTTGCAGAAGTAAGGGGAGGAGAAAATACTGGAGACTGCACTGGTAAGATTTTTTTCTGTTTTTTTAAAAGAGAAGAAATAGCCTTGACTTTATATTAAAAAAACCTGTATTTTCTGCAAGAAGACAGACTACCTTAAAATCAATATCCACTAAAACTTGACACTTATCTCTAAACTGTAAAATGCACTCAGAATAACATCAAAATTTCAGCTCTACTACTTCCAATCCCAATCCATATTTGAGGCATTCTTGAGAATGGGCTGACCAATGACATCAACTTGAATCAGTTACCATGTGAAAGCATTCATAGGACAGGTTGCTCAATAGAAAGTCAGCCTAAGTTGGCTAAACTCAGCTATGTCAACAAGCCTCAACTGCGTTTTTTTTTTTTTTCTTGGACTCAAAGTTGCTAAAAGTAAGCCCTGCAAGAATAGCAAATATCAATTTCAGTGTCCTTTACACTGTCCTTGTGAGCTCTAACAGAAACATATAAATCTGCCATGCTACAGTCCAAAACACAGTAACTCCCAGGCAAGGATGGAATTTCCAAGGGCACATTGCATGGTTAGCAATCCTATTAGTGAACTAGCCTGTAGCGAAGAAGCTCTAACCACTTACAGGCACAGAGCCAGCAGGGAATTCAGTAAAGGGTTGATCCACATTCAGGTTAAGACTAAATTAATGGCTCAGGACAATGAGAGATAAAGGAGAGAGAAACTAGGAATCAAAGAGCAGGTGTATGTGTCTTTGGCTTAAGAGGGACATTCTGAAACAATATAATATATCCCTTGTAATTCATAATTTTAGACACCCAGACAAAGACTCTGACCTGGTTCACATGTAATACTAAGCAACTATGAGTTAGCTAACCTGTGGGCTTTCACAGTACAGTAGGACCCCATATCCAAGGGGCACAGTTTCCAACCCCCCCGCTCAACATCCAGCAGATGCCTGAAACTGCAAACAATAGTGAACACACACATTTGCAGGGGGTAGGGCAGCAGAATCCCCATGAAAGTAGAAACACTGTGAATATATCTAGCACCCACCAAACCTTAACTCTTAATACTGGATCCCATCATCTCCCACAATGGTTCCACCCACTAAATGATTGCTTCCTCCGCTATTTTTGGCATGTACATGCTTCACTCCTTGCCTTAGCACACTCAGAAAGCTGACTAATCCCTCTTTCTCACCCTGTCACCCACTGCCGGCTTTCCCTCTATTATATCCCCAATAGTTTGGCCCTGGAATTTTCTATTTAAGTTTTTGGACTGCAGTCAACCATGGTTAAATGAAACCACAGTAACTGAAGCAGTGGATAGAGCAAATATTTATAAATTTTTCTATATCGTCCCATACTTAAAAGTCTCAGGGTGGTTTACAGCATTTAAACTGGATTATACTATATATGCCATATGAACTGTCCTTCTGTGTTTACTAAAACACTTAGTAAAGAGTTTGCACAAAACAGGAAGCAGGGGAGAGAGAGAAATTGAAATGATGTGGGCTTCTTTAAATAGTAAGAGCAGTACAAAAGGAAAATGTAAAATCAATCTGCCATTGAATGTGGAGGTAAACAAATTTGCTAACCTTCCTTCCTGGCTTTAAGCCTTTTTTCCTTTTTTTGAGATTTTCCTTATGAGATGCGTTTTTTGACACAGGAATAGTTTTGGGAGACCTGCCTTTCCTAAGGACTGCAGATGGAGCTGGTGGTTTTCCACGACTCGGTTTCCTGCCTCTTGGTGTAGGAGCAGGAACTGGAGCAGCTGATTTCTGTGGAGACTGCATGGAGCGTCGAGTCACTTTGGATGGGGAACTCTGGGTTTTTGTATTATTCTTTGTACTAGAAACTGAGGGGAAAATTAAAAATTACTGTATCAAAATCTATGAGCAAACACCTAGGTACCAGCATTTAAAATGACTTTCTACAACCTGTGATTACACTTTAAACATGTGCATTCAATCTAGTATCTTAAGAAGTTTAGAGACTAGGATTGCTGATTTTTCACCAGATAAGGAAGCAACGCCTTTACCAGCAGCCTAATGTGCAGAAATCTGCAGGTAATCATATGTATGCTAGGAAAATTTTTATTTCTGTGCATCAAAATACAGCTACAGCAGATGTGGGCATCTTTGTGGGCTTCTTCTCTCCTCCGTCCTCTGTGCTCACTTGGATTCCTGTGGTTCATTTTATTTAAAAAAAAAAACACTGTCCATATCTTAATGCAGCTGATTCAATATGAAACAAACAAACAAAAATGTTTGGTACCTCCCAGATCTGGATGACTTGAACATGACACTTTTCAATTAATGCATTGTTGACCATTTCTTAAGGATTAAGAATTAACAATATCTGCATATACTGCTTGTATTAAACAAGAAAACCCCACACAGGGGGTGGAAAGGAATTGGAAACTAGTGCTTTCATTATGTAGTAACACTACTTTTTCAATTAAAAATGGCCCCCACAGAATCCCCCAACCTGGTGGCCTGAAGATGCGTACAGCTACAATTCCCATAATCTCCAGCCAGCATGTGATTTGTTTATTTATTTGTTTGCTCTTTACATTCAAAAGTAACCAATCATTTGTACTTCAGGAAAAAAGCCAGACATTTTATCAGTATGCCATGAAGATTTAATGGCAAGGTACACCTATTCAAGTTACTGTCCATATACTTTGATAATCAGGAAATAAATACTGATTCAAGGTTTTTAAAAATAGTATAATGATAAAGGTATAGATTTCATTACATACACATGCCAAACACAAATAGTCCACAATGTGTGGTTTGAAAAAGCATACTGCCTCAAAATTATGTGCTTGATTTTAAATAAAATAAATTTTATTCATTTCAGCTAAACGCTTTGCCATCTCACAAGCCAAACTTAAAAAGCAAGTGAATTTCTCAAGATGTATATACTATAAACATGTGGTTGCACACACAAACATAGGCATACATCCTTTTTCTGGAAACAGAACAATCAGTATTAACTTATTTCTAACATCTATAGTTACTGAAGCTGCAATCCTACACCCACTTACCTGGGAGTAATCTCCAATTAAACCAATGGAATGTACTTCCAAATAGGCATGCATAATATAGTGCAGTAAAATAATACAAATTGTAAACAATTAAGAACGTGTTACAAGAATACATTTGGTTTAGAATCTAGCTGTAAGTCTATGAGTCTATCTGTGCTGAAATGTCAACGGATCATTGTAAATCCAAAAGCTGAGAAAATAAGCATTCACAAATGTAAAGAAAATTTGCTTCAGTGCTGCAAGATGAAAATGAGCAACTATATGCTTTTACACACACAAACTCTCAACAAAAAGGGTTAACAGTCCTTGCTAAGCAAGGGCTGCAAATGCAATAATAAGGAGCCTTTCCTGGAAGGCCATATAAAATTTGCTCTTCCCTACCTTTATATTCCAGAGAGTCAACTGTCATTTATATTAGCCACCCAAAAGATTAAACTCCAAACTACTTTCTTTTTACAGGAACTGAGGTTGAAAAAGCAACTCCCACACTGCTTGGGCAGCAGGCACTGAATTGTTATGCTAGCAAATCAGGATGAAGCAATTTGCATTTGTTGGTTTAAGAAAAAGGGGGAGGAAACAGAGTGGAGTTGAGACTGCTAAAGCAATTCACATATTGTCTGAAGGATCTATTGACACTGACCATCAGTCACCTGCTTCTACTTCTTTCACCCCTGACTTCAGGAGGAGAACAAAGGTTACATGAGGTCAAAGAAACTGGAAAGAAGTGAAAGGGCATGAAAAAACAAAACAAAACAAAAAACAGCTGCTAGTCTACTACATCTGGAGACAAAGTTATCTCAACTGAGCCACAAGAGCCAAAACCTTTAAAATGATTTGTTAGTCTCAACAGACTTTGTTTAAAAATGGTCATGTATTTTAAAAAAAGAAGGTGGTAGTGTCACTCTGTTATTAATACAGAGTGTGTAGCTGGTAGGAGTGGAAAGCGCTATTGCTCATTTTGGAGAACTGTTTTGCATGACAATAGCCCTTGCCAGTCCACAAACAAAACAAAGCATTTTGTTTCTTGCTGCACTAGCAAAACAATTAAGACATCAACCATTGGGTCTCTTGCCTGTATGCAGCAGCAGCCTCTGATCCTAAGCAACATTATTAAAGTTTTTTGATATGGAAACTGCAGCATGCCAGGCAAACAAGAGGAACGGGAAGCAAAAAAATGGTTACATGACTGCCTACATTTGGAATACTGATACCTTATATAGGTTTTTAGTGATGCAGATAATTCCTTGCAGTACACAAAAGTGCACTGAATATTTCAATTGCTTCCACAAGTTGCAGTATAGTATGCTTGTTTTCAGATAAGTTACTCTCGTGAGAATATGCTCCAAACATTCTACGCAGGTTCATCAAAGGAACTGTATTCAGAACTAAAAAATACTATACGTTTGTAGATATTGGCAGCATCTTTTTTGCAGGGGGAATGTTCAACAGCGTACAATTTTTCAAGAGCTAGACATTTAAGAATTTATACGAAACAGACTCAAAACAGTCAAATCCATTATGTGAATGCCTTTGTCTTCCTCTACTGACAACTAGCAGCAGCCATTGCCTCAGGATGCAGAGCCAAAAAAAGAAAAGGGATGCAGGGCCATTAAATCAGCTCTGCTGAGACACCCTCTCTTTTTGGCTCCTCTTCTCTCTCTTCATAACTTTAAAAACTCTTTGTAACTTTAACAACTGGTGTCGGTAGTTACCTTTTCCCTCCCCCCACATCCTTTTTGTTGTTTTTGTGCCATGTATTTTAGATTATAAGCTGGAGGACAGGGACTGTCTTGTCTTTTGTCCTTCTATTGATCCACAAATTGTCTTGCCTGAAGATTGGAGTAAAAGTGTTTCAAATAACCATATCCTAAATTACGAAGAAGCCTGATTTACAAAGTCCATACAAATAAGACTTCAAGGCAATAAACATCTTTTGAACAGCAGCAAAACAAATATGGCTGAACTTTTGCAAAACATTCACAACTTATTTAATGCATCTGTTAATGGAAAAATGGTGTTCGTCTCATAGGCACCAATTAGATGGTGTCTCTGACATGAATGTGATGAACAGAAAGCAATATATAAAGCACACTAAAGCCATTACTTTAAATGTGTCTAACTGCTACATGTTTCCCTTATTCTTTAGTTACTTTAGTAGAGTGTAGGGGTCCCAATCCAGATTGGACCCATAGTGGAGGGGAGGGGAGGGGGGTCGCTTTAATTCACCGAGCCTCAATTTCCCTCACGGGGCTTCCTGTTCCGTCGAAACCAGGTCTAGAGTGTTTCTACCTGGTGCTGGGCAATCGAGACAGATTGGGGATTCTGCTGGTGTACCATGCACCCTTCTGCCCATCAGACTCCCTGCCTGAGCTGACGGAGATTGTCTCGGACCTGGTGTTGAAGACCCCCAGGATGTTGGTCCTGGGGGACTTCAATCTCCACACCAAGACTGTTCTGACCAGGGCAGCTTAGGACTTCATGGCCTCCATGACGGCCATGGGGCTGTCTCAACATGTCATAGGCCCAACCCATGAACGTGGTCACATGCTGGATCTGGTTTGCTCGACGGGGCAGGGTGATTTGAGGGTGAGGAATTTGCTTCTGACTCCCTTGTCATGGTCAGATCACTTCCTTGTGAGGTTTGAGCTCAGAGCTGGCCTTTCGCTCTGTAAGGGTGCGGACCCTACTGTGATGGTCCGCCCTCAGAGCCGGATGGATCTGGATGGATTCCTGAGGGCTCTAGGGGATTTTCCGGTTGAAAAAGCTGGCACTCCTGTTGATGCTCTGGTTGAACTGTGGAATGGGGAAATGGTCAGAGCGATTGACACGATCGCTTCTAAGCGTTCTCTCCTGCCAAGCAGAGTCCGTCCATCTCCATGGTATACATCTGAATTACAGGCGATGAAGCAGGTTGGGAGACGACTAGAGCAGAGGTGGAGGAAATCACGGGATGAATCTGACTGAACACGCATACATGCTCATTATCGAGCCTATGCTGTGGCAGTGAGGGCGGCGAAGAAGAAATTCTTCTCCATTTCCATTGCCTCCTCACAGTGCCATCCAGAGGAGCTTCTTCAAGTGGTACATGGGCTGATATACCCCGGCCCTAAGAAAGATCCTGTACCACCTTCGATGGCCCGCTGTGACGACCTGCCCAGCACTTCAAGGAGAAAATCGCTCAGATTCGTCACGAGCTGGACTTCACAACTGATTCAGATCCCTTAGGGGATACACCAATGACCCCATCTGGTCAGGTATTAATGGATGAATTTCAGTTAATGCGACCCGATAATGTGGACAAGGTGCTTGTACAAGTATGTCCTACCACCTGTTTACTCAACCCTTGCTCTTTGTGGCTGCTGACCAAAGCCAAACATGGTTCCTGGATCCTGGAGGTTATTAATGCCTCTCTGAGGGACGGCTGGGTGCCTGCTCCTTTAAAGGAGGCGGTAATCAGGTCTGTCCTAAAGAAGTCTTCTCTGGATCCAGAGATGGCCGCCAATTATAGACCGGTGGCCAACATCCTGTTTTTGGGCAACGTGTTGGAACGGGTGGTGGTGGGACAACTCCAAGTATAAACTGATTATCTGGATTCATTTCAGTCTGGCTTCAGATCCGGGTACGGTACTGAATCTGCCTTGGTCACCCTGTATGATGACCTGTGCAGGGAGAGAGACAGGGAGAGTGCATCCCTCTAGGTTCTCCTGGACCTCTCAGCGGCTTTTGATACCATCAAGGATACCATGGTATCCTCTTGGATAGGCTGGCGGGGTTGGGAGTAGGAGGCACCCTGAAGGCCAATTCCAGAAGGTGGTACCGGGGGACTCTGGCTCTGTGCCATGGCAACTATGCCATGGAGTAACACAGGGTTCCATTTTATCTCTCTTGCTATTTAAAATCTACATGAAACCGCTGGGAGAGGTCATCAGGAGGTTTGACACCCTGCTCTACTTCTACTGATGACACCCTGCTCTACTTCTCTTTTTCAACTAATCCAGGTGAGGCAGTGACTGTACTGAACCGGTGCCTGGCCGAGGCAATGGGCTGGATGAGGGCCAATAAACTGAAGCTCAATCCAGATAAGATGGAGGTTCTGTTGGTCAGTGATTCGAGCACCTGGGTAGGTGACTTGGGCCTTGCCCTGGACAGGGTTGCACTCCCTCTAAAGGACAGGGTCCACATCTTGGGAGTGCTCTTCGACCCGGAGCTGTCCTTAGAAGCCCAAGTGACAGCAGTGGCAAGGAGTGCTTTCCTTCAGCTTCGGCTAATCTATCAGCTGCATCCCTACCTGGAGGAGGATTGCCTAGCAACAGTAACACACGCATTGGTTACTTCCCGGTTGGATTTCTGTAACGCGCTTTACGTGGGGCTGGCTTGAAGACAGTCCAGATACTTCAGATGGTTCGAAATAGAGCTGCCATGAGGCTGTCGGGGACTGGGCATTATTCTCATATAACCCCAGTCCTCTATCAGCTCCACTGGCTTCCCACTGAAGTCTGGGCTCAATTCAAGGTGCTGGTTATTACCTATAAAGCCCTAAACAGCTTGGGACCAGGATACCTTAAGGAACGCCTTTTTCCCTATTTGCCCTCCCGCACCCTGATTGGCAACAGAAGCCCTCCTCTGGGAACCATCTCTAAAAGAAGTTAGGAGACAGAGTACCCAGAGGAGGGCCTTCTCTGCAGTGGCGCCCCGACTGTGGAATGCGCTCCCTAGAGAGGTCTGCCTGGCGCCATCATCATATGTTTTTCGGTACCAGATTAAGACCTTTTTATCTAATCAATATTTTAATATTGAATTTTAATATTGTATTTGCAGCCAGAGTGGGTTGTCAATTTATTTATGCTGTTAGCCGTCCAGAGACGTTGGTAATTGGACTGCATACAAATTTCATAAATGGATGGATGGATGGATGGATGGATGTTAAGGCCCCTTACCACTAGGCTAGGATCAAAGCCCTTTTGTACAACTCAGTACAGTATTTTTAAGGCATATTTGCTAAATAGTGTTTCATAGTAATGTCTTTTTTGAGCCTTTGTGAAATATGCAAAGGATAGACAAAATGATGTGAAATACTTTCACTTTTAAGTGTGGTAACATAGGCCTGATTCTCTGAGGTTGAGTATTATGAGAAAAAAAGGTTTATTTAAAATTGGAAATGAACGTCATCATTTCACATAGTTTCTGAATTACACATGTGTTATCATAGTTATACTTGCAGTGTTTTAAATTAAACTTCAATTGATCAGAATTCAGGTGAATTAAAATTAGTGAACATTAAAGTTAGTGGGAGCAAGCTAGTATCTGAAACCACAATCTTTTCTTGTCATGAAAAAATGTATAATTCATTTAAAATAAAAAGATCCAATAATTTCTTCATGGGATCAAAACAAGAGGAGGGAGGACATATACAGGCTTCCATATAGCCTGAAGTGCCTGATCCAACCTAATCTTGGAAGTTAACCAAGGTCGGGCCTGTTTGAAATCTGGATGAGTAACTTAATGTTGTGAACCACCCAGAGAGCTTTGGTTACATGCAGTACTGAAAAGTAATGAATAATAATGTGAGTCCAACAATAGTCAGCATGATCACCTAGCAGAAGATTGTAATTTTCTATAAGGTCTGAACCAATGGAATGCTTAACAAGCCAACAAACAGACTAAGGCTGCAGTCCTGTGCAGAGCAGTGGAAGCAGCAGAGGAAATCTTTGCCTTCCTATTCTCATGCTGTACGTTTTTTGCTGGGTAGCTTCTTTTGACCATCTGTTGTTGTTAGCCGCGAAGTCGTGTCGGACCCATCACGACCCCACAGACAACATTCCTCCAGGTCTTCCTGTCCTCCACCATCCCCCGGAGTCCACTTAAGCTCACGCCGACTGCTTCAGTGACTCCATCTAGCCACCTCATCCTCTGCTGTCCCCTTCTTCTTTTGCCTTCCATCATTCCCAGCATTAGGCTCTTCTCCAGTGAGTCCTTCCTTCTCATTAGGTGGCCAAAGTATTTGAGTTTCATCTTCAGTATCTGGCCTTCTAAAGAGCAGTCAGGGTTGATCTCCTCTAGGACTGACCGGTTTGATCGCCTTGCTGCCCAAGGGACTCACAGGAGTCTCCGCCAGCACCACAATTCAAAAGCCTCAATCCTTTGGCACTCAGCCTTCCTTATGGTCCAACTTTCACACCCATACATTGCAACTGGGAAAACCATATCCTTGGCTATATGCACTTTTGTTGGCAGGGTGATGTCTCTGCTTTTTGGTATGCTATCTAGATTTGCCATAGCTTTCCTCCCCAGGAGCAAGTGTCTTTTAATTTCTTGGCTGCAGTCCCCATCTGCGGTGATCTTGGAGCCCAGGAAAATAAAATCTGTCACTATTTGACCATCTACCTGGAGCATTTCATAGGGGATAGGAAGGAGGCTGGACATGCTTCAGGATAGCCAGTATCCTGGATTCACCAGTCTCTGCCCCTCCACCTGTTCCCTTCTCTGAGGTCACTTTTCTCACCTTGGGGGCCAGTTGGCATAATACTTTCCACAGCAGCTACAAGGAGCAGGGGAAGAGGATCAGTTTTCCAATTCCCCATTCTCAGGTCAGTGCTGACTTCAGCCTTGGATTGGGGAATCCAAGCTTTCCTATGGCCTCTCACATGTTATATTTGGTCCATAGGATTGCTCCCTAATATTCCATTCTTTTAAGCTGCAATCCTATACCAACTTAAATCCTACTTTGGATTAATCTTCTTTAAACACACTGGGGCTTACTTGTGAATTAACAAGTACAGGATTGCAATGTAAATAACATTAATGACTAGATTTAGCCTTAGCCTTGGGTTTTATTTTATTCTATTTTGACTTTTGTTGCACTGTCATATAGTGAAGAAAAGATTACCAAGAACGTATGCATTTTCTGATGTTTTCTAGCAAGACCACTAAACGATGAAATTTGAACTGATAAAAATTGCTTACCACTGTTCCCTGGTGGTTGCAGAGCGTCTCCTGTTAAGTCACACCATCCAACTGGAAAGATATCTCGGGAATCATATTTGCACCAATAGTCAAATGCCCCTCGCCATCCATCAAAAGTAATAAAAACTTCATCGCCTTTAACACCCCCAATGGTTGCAGGACATATTAAATAAGGGTTTTTCCTGTCTATTGCTTCTAGCTTCATTCCAACTTTAAAACAGTTTGGAGAAGGTTTCAGAGGTTCCTACCAAAATAAGAAGAGCCAAACATTTATGTATATAGGAAAATCTTGAAAGAAATGAGTTTATATGACTTTGTTAGGCAAAATTACTCATGTTCCAAAAGATAAACAGAATTCAACACTCATATGTCAAACATTTTTCTTATATTTTCTATGGCCCAGATCACTACAGTAAGGGGGGGAAAGCAGGCTTTAAAACTAAATGACAGGTTTTATAGAGCACAACATGTAGAGAGTTAAGAATAAATGCAACAGAATTATTTGGAGATTTCTCACAATTCAAGACATGTATTTGTTCCTTTAGTTACCAATGAAAGAAAGAGAATTGTCAAGCAAGATAAAGTTTGTAGACCCTCATTAATGAATAAAGAAGACAGAGTTACAGTGTAGCTAAAATGCCAAAATAGTTTCCAGTGTCACACTTATCAGTGTCAAAAGAGGCCATGAATTGGCCATTTACAAGCTTCAAGATTATGCTTCAAGCATGTTTGTAAACTAGCAGGAGGCTCTCTTATAAAGCCATTCAAACTTGCATAATGTGACTTCAATGGATGCTCAAGTGATGAATTGCTTCCATGATGGAGCTTTATTCTTTCCTCCTCCTTGCATTTTTGTTTGTTTATTGGGTTACTTGGCAAATTTGATGGGGAGAAGTTAATATTTCACAGTGAGTATTTTGAATATAACATTAATAAAAATCCTGCATTTGAGCCTGATTTAGGTCTTTCAAGTTAATGTGACAACAACTTTATTATTCTTTTCTAAGTTTACACACATTATTTTACACAGATTCCTACGATTTTCTGAAACAGTCCAGTTCCTATTCTTCATAAAACATCAATATATATGCTTCTAGCTTTAGGACAATTCTACACTCTCAGGAAAGAAAAAAGAAATAGCAGGATTGAGATAAAGGACACAGCAATATTACCCATACTTGACACATATTAGTATACTGTTAGATGATATAGACATTGTGCCTATATTTCCTTTGACTTGTGCACTTTCACATGACCTCTCATTTGACATCTTGCCTATTCCATTGTCCCTCTATACTGGTTATATTCTGTGTGTCCTTGCTTCCCTTTCTAACATTCTGCTTTCCCTATCTAATTCAAGAATTTCTAAATGCATGCAAAATATTTAGAGTCACAAACGCTACTTTTTCATTTTCGTTTTCTAGGCAAAGAATCCCTCCAATTTAAGAATGTAAGAGTTATGCCTCCATTTTACCCAAGACATAAAGACCGTTTGTGTAACAATAATTTTCAGTCAAAACGAGAAACTTATGACTGGCCATGTTTGTGCACAGAACAGCACTTGAATTTACATGGATAAGACAAATCACAATGCTTAAAAATGTTAAATTGCTGAGATGTCATTTTGGAAGCCATATAAAGGTTGAAAAAAAGTTTCCTATTAAATTTCAATTGTCATGTTCCTTATATATGGTAACAGAATTTTATATTACAGGCATTAAAAATCCTATGATCTCATGGCTGGGGCTTTGAAAGACAAACCCCTTGCAGCTGGTGAAGAACAAACTATTTTGGCTTCCCCACTCCCAGTCACAGCTGGCCCTTGGAAGGAAAAGCAGGGCATGGCAGGAAGGGAAAAAGACTGATACCAATAGATAAAACTGCTGAAAAAAAGCTCTTTGGATAAAATGCAGGGCACAAGATGTGGCAGGGATGAAGATCACACTAACGTGCCTTCCGTTGGATGCTCAATAAACCACAGAATGCAGAAGCTCATGAGCTTCCGCAACAGGGCAACAGGATCACTCCCTTAAGCAATAAGGTTTGTCTTGCATTCATGACTTATAAAATGCTTTGAAACTACTTTACTAGTAATATATTACAAAAGCTCTTAACTGCAAACTCAGGGAAAATAGTTTTACATTTATTAAGATAGCATGTTTCCTCCCTGTGTCCAGCCATTTTACATAACTTTCTTTTCTTGCATGGTGAACAGTTTGATGTACTAAAATTCTCAGAAGCAACTGCAGTTCAATTTCTTACCTTCTTAAAAAATGATGCAGGGGCCATTTCAGCTCCATTTAGTGTTCTTAAGAGGAACATTGGCCAAGAAGATGCATTCATCTGGAACCCTAAATTGTGCAAAAACAGATTTGCAAAATTAGGGTTTTAACAAACAAAAAGCCTTCATAAGTGGTATTATCTCCATTGGATAAATATCAATTTTAAAACAAAATATGAGGAGGAGTGTACATACTGTGGAGGCTTTTTCCACTAAAAACTACAACCACAATTAAGCAAAACTAAGCTAAGCTAACCGGTAAGTCCTAGAGGAGATCAACCCTGACTGCTCTTTAGAAGGCCAGATACTGAAGATGAAACTCAAATACTTTGGCCACCAAACAAGAAGGAAGGACTCCCTGGAGAAGAGCTTAATGCTGGGAATGATGGAAGGCAAAAGGAGAAAGGGACGGCAGAGAATAAGGTGGTTAGATGGAGTCACTGAAGCAGTTGGTGTGAGCTTAAGTGGACTCCAGGGGATGGTGGAGGACTGGAAAGCCTGAAGGAATGTTGTCCATGGGGTCGCGATGGGTCGGACACGACTTCGCGACTAACAACAACAACAAGCTAAGCACCTGGTGCAACATGTGAGAATCAACTGCATTTCATGTTGGAGAGGGGGGCATTTTGAGACTGATCATATTACAAGAGGAATAGGACTGCTGAGACCAGGAGGTCCTATACCACTGGGGAAAGATCAGTTTTTGAATAAAGCTAGCAGGAGGCAATTATACACACAATTAGCTCCCTGCTTAGCCTATTGTAAAACTGCCAACAAAAATGTTTTAAAAACATTTTCAGCTAAGCAACAGTGTTGGAACTGGAATTCTGCCTATCTTCAGAAAACACAAAAGGACAAAATACAACGTAACACCTTTTATCAAGGCCTCTCTTTGCAAGCTTGGTTCTCTCTGTCTCTGCCTTTCTCTTTCAGGAGTCTAAATACTACACAATACAGCCATCCCACACACAAGCAGCTAAGTAAGACAAAAGCCTTGTCTGCCAAGCTGGCTCAATAAAAGGGTAAGGATCAGGCTTTGGGAGACACAACAGAGCCATCATGCATGCAGACATGTTACCAGGGGCCATGTTTTAATTAAGCAGCAGTAAATTAACTGTAAAACCATGTTTAATTTTACTTCCATTTTGTTTGCTTTCTTTATATGTAACAACAACCATGACTTTTGCCATCTTTTTCTGTTAGGATATCTCAAAGTGTAAACCTGCCATGCAAATGTGAAAGATGCTGAAGAATGACCAAAAACAAACAGGCAAACTGAACCAGAAAAGGGAGTGCTATTTCAAAACACAGTGGGCTTGAAACGGCTGAGTTGGAAAATCATGAAGGGGTGATTCAAAGTCTTCAGCTGTGTAGGTCAACTCGTACAGGGAAAAATTGAGGGGGAAGGCAACATTTAGCAATGATCTTTACCAAGTACAGAGATCCTGGATGGAAAAGCAAAGGGACATAAAAGAAAAGGCTGAGAAGTAAAGAATATAAATGCTTGATGCCAGTGTTCCAAGGGACAGCTGTAGGACACTGGTCTGGTGAATTTTGAGGACAAACAATATCCCAGTCATCTCCACCCAGCACAGCGATCCAGCATACACGACAGCGTGTTCTGGCGTCAGTATTTCAAAAATATACTTGTAAGTCATGCTGGCACACTGATTTGGGTTGAAAGGCAACTCATAAGTGTACACCATTTTTAGAAGGGAGTTACCTGGAAATATCGTGTACAATTGCTTGGACACGGCAATATACAGCATTATAGCCGATGGTGAAAGCATATCTAGTCTTCCCCTGATGCTTGTTAATTGCTGCTACCTACTGCAGTCCCCCAAAAGCTGCTCCTGGGGACTGGGGAATCCTTTAACATGGAAGACGGTGTGATGCAATACAAAGGGCTGATGTGGGATAAAGTGGGGGAGAACTGGATGCCCTGCCATGTACAAGCATAAACATTTTCCACAAGTACAAAGCCACCACAGAAGACAAGTCATAAATAGATTTAGTTTGTTCTGATTCTCTTCTTTGCTAGCTTGCATTTTGCTAAGTTGCGTAAAATAATCATGACTCAAAATCAAACTATGATGCCATACATGTTAGCCTCCTGATTTATTACCTAGTGGTGGCTGAAGCATGCCTCCTTTTTTCTCACAGGTTCCAATTTGTTGTATGTCAGATGAATCCACCAGCCTCCAAAAGTCATTCTTGTTGTCACTTCCATCAAGTCGCAACCTTAATCTGGCACCCGTGATTCCAATAACTGTAGCTATACACACTGAGGTAACATTGCGAGGGTCATGAGCTTCCAATTTCATCCCCACTTTGAAATCATTGCTAGGTGGAATCCTAGACTACAGGAAAGGAAAGATAAGGCTTTGATTGGACTATGTTCTCCGGAGAGATTCAGCAGAAATTGTTTAGCTAGTCAGAAGTAATTCTGGACAGTCTGAAAGCTTTACTAAGCTTCCTGGTCTCTGTAACTAACTGCTTAACATCCTTTGACGCTAAAAATTTATTTTATTTATTTATTTATTAAAACATTTCTATGCTGCCCCTTGCCGAAGCCTCGGGGAGGCTCACAACATAGAATAAAATACGCAATAAATTAAAACAATAACAATTAAAATATATACATTAGAATAAAATAAGCCGCCCTGGCCAAATAAAACTCAGTAATATTAACATTTAAAATGCTGCTTAAATAAAAAGGTCTTCGCCTGGCGCCGAAAAACAAATAACGACGGCGCCAGGCGGACCTCTCTGGGAAGCGCATTCCATAACTTAGGCGCCACCGCTGAGAAAGCCCTCCTCCGAGTAACCACCCTCCTAATTTCCTTCACTGAGGGCTCCCGGAGGAGGGCCTCTCCTGCTGATCTCAGGGGGCGGCTGGGCATATATGGACGTAAGCGCTCCTTCAGGTAACCAATAAATAAAAAATGTATTTATTGATTTATATCCTGCCTTTTTCCTACAAAGGGCTCAAGGCAGCTTACATCATTCTCCTCCTCCATCTTATCCCCACAACAACCCTGTGAGGTAGGTTGAGCTGAGAGTCTGTGACTGGCCCAAAGTCACCCAGTTGGCTCCATGGCTGAGCACCCAGATCGTCTGAGTCCCAGTCCCATGCTCTTCATCACTACACCACACTGGCTCTACTACGCCACACTGGCTCTAAATCAAATCTATCACCTCAATTAAAAGGCTAGCACCTAGATATCCCACCTAGAAATTTTCTAGCCTTGGGCAATTATCCTATCTAAAGTAAATACAGTTTAAATTTCTTATAAATCATTTGTAAATTTAACAAAGAATTTATAGTTGCTATTATATTTGCACATTACAATAGGACCCCTGTATCCACAGGTGATACGTTCCATGTCCCCCAGTGGATGCCTGAAACCACAGATAGTTTTTCTCTAGAGGTATCTGTGGTTTTTCTACCTTTGCAGGGGTCCTGTACCCTTAACCCCTGTGAATGTTGAGAACTGCACTCAACTGCAGTAGAGTGAAAGCAAGGTAACTGAGATAGCAAATACAGAGGTCCTACCACATCAGGTCACATAAGCTAAGAGATAGTAACACACAAACCCAGTGAATTTAAAGGTTCCACTATGTCACTTTCAAGTCAAATATATTGTTTCTTACCCAAATTCATAACTTGCACTTTTCCAGTAAGCTGATACTTCAGCTGTGAACTTTGGAACTTGCACTGTGTTCACTGAGGACCAAGCTACCTTATGCTGAATGCACAAAATACAGCTGCACTTTTGCTTTTTATTTAGAGATGTGAGAAAAGATTGTGAGTGGGATGTCATTCTTCCCTATTATTTTATTATTTATTTGTCAAATTTATATCCTCTCTCCCTCTCCACATGTGTACACTGGGGTGGGGAGACAGAGAGAGAGAGAGATTAAGTTTATTTTTGTTTGGGCTCATAGCTGAGGCATAATCCCAAGGCCCTCTTGCTTACTACAAAATCCTACCTCCAACATCTGTATTTCAGAATAGAGACAAAAAAAACCCCTGGATGTAGCTGCACAAAACACATTCAGCATAGCATTTAGTTTATCCCTGATTTTAATGAAATTTACTTTCAATGAAGTACATTTTGAATAGCAGCCCTGTAGAAGGCTTAATATCTCTATAGTAGAAACCTTTCATGTATGTGATTAATACTAATATTCTAAAAGCCCATCTTTTTTCAAATATTTACCAATGGTTACATTAAGAATATACAGAGCTTGCAAAATACTAACATATACCTACATTAAATTTAACAAATCTGAGAAGTATAAAGTGGCATCTAGGCCTGCTATTTATACCAGAAATGTAAATTTAATATGTATACTCATTTATATTTGAAATAATTTACCTGTCTGAAACAATGTGAGGGAGCAGCTATGGATCCTGTTTCTTTCAGGTAGTTATCCCAGTTGAAATAGTCTATAGAAAAGAAATGAAAAAGCTACTTTTAAACCCTTTGTTTCTACATGCAAAGAATATATAAATACATCAATCTAAAGCAATCCATGGAGTGCATGGTATCCCTCGGAGTCTCTCCTGAGGTTTCCGGGGTCTCTAGAACCCTTCTCACTTCTTTCTCTTCTGGATCTCTAGGGTGTAAAATGGTGCGCCATTCGAACATAATATGTGGTTTCTATCTCAAGAATAACATTCCTCAAAGAGAAGCAACACAGTATGTCATGCTTGACCATCTCCCACTGCTCTAGCTTGTATTTCATGGCTTTTTCTTCAGCATTAACACTCCTCTCCAAGCAAAGAGAAAAAAAAACCTAGGAAGGGAGAGGAGATTTAATGTGTGGGTGTCGACAAAGATTGCCTCCTTCAGAGAGGTGATGGGGAAAAGCATGTGTGTCTGCATGTGAAAGTCAGACAATGACAATCAGTCAAGAGGCATGACTGAATGTGTCTGTGTGAAGCAGTGAGGGGTGGGAAGACTCTACACGGGTGGGATGGATGTGGGGCATCACCATCACCACCTGGGCGTCATCAGATAGTTCAAGTCCAGCAGAACCTCCAACTGGCACACCTGTTCTTTCAAGAGAGTACAATATCACCTGGACATAACTTGGAGTCATCATCAAGAAGAGCCAGTTTCCTAATTCACAAATCCTCTATCTTATCTGGATAGTTTCAGCCCATTTTCCAACATCAAACCCTCATCCTGGACATCCCCAGTCTCTCTGGGATTCATGTGGAAAAGAGAGAAAGATCTGTACGTCCACAGTGTGTTGGTGTGCAGTTCAGGCTTTTCATGGCCAGCAGTTTCATATCATTACTGAAAATCATGACAGGTAAGACTGAAACCTTAGGCACTAATAAAGTCATGGAATAGGGAGGCATCCACCCAACACAGCCTTCTGTGATCAACCATCCAGATAGGAGCAGAACCACTGTAACAGTGAATCAGTTAACAGGAAACCAAACAAATAATCAAAACATGGTGGCTACTGATCCATGGTGTCCAGAGGAACAAGAAAACTGCACTTGCACCAGCCAGGTCCAGCAAATATTATCTACTAAAGCTACTAAGCCTGCTTCTATCCCAAATATGACCAGATTACAGAATGGAATCAGTTTCTTCCTGAACTCCATGGAATCTACTCTCTCTAGAGTATTGTTAGAAAGGACAGACTGGGGACCAGACAGTAGTTGGCCATCTCCATGGGATATAAGCTAAATTTCTCCAATTTTGCTTCCATAATTGCCTCCCTGAAGACAAAGGGCCCTTGTCTTGATGGAAAGAAGCATTCACCACCTCTGAAGTTCTGGTCTTCAACCTTCCCATCCCTGAAAGTTTTCAACAATCTTGATTATTGTTAAAAAGAAAAAGGGTGAGAAGGCTGTCAAAGAGGAAGACCAGGATCTCTTCTCAATCATCCCAGAGTACAGGACACAGAATAATGGGCTCAAAGTTACAGGAACCCAGATTCTGGCTAGATATCAGGAAACATTTGCTGACTGTTATAGTAGTATGACAATGGAACCAATTACCTAGCAAAGTTGTGGGCTCTCCCACACCAGAAACATTCAAGATGCAACTGGACAGACATCTTACGGTTTAACTTGGAGTCCTGCACTGAGCAGTGGTTGGACCTGATGGCACTCCGGCTACTTCCAACTCTACTATTCTGTGAGCAGGTATCCAGAGCACAAACGGGGAACGTGACATCCACAGGTACCGATTTGTTCCCAGACACCGTTCTTAACACTCAACAAGGTGCTACACTTCTCCCTTTTTTGTTTAAATTAGCACATTTTCTTATACGCAGTTAGCATGGATCAGTTTCTGCTGGAGCTGAAAAAGGGGTTCAAAGGTATTGTTTAGTGTTCCATCTCTAACCTCATAGTCAATCCTTTGAGCAAATGATTTATTCATTGCCATGCCTTCCACAGCAGCCATTTTATAATGCTGCCCACAAAATTTCTCAAATAGCTAAATGTGCCCACAGGTTCAAAAAGGTTGCATACCCTGATTCAAAGAGTAAGCAGTGGGTCATAGACATGCAAAGAACCTGTCCACATTCTCAAGCTAAATGATATGCATTCGTTATAAAATCAGCAGATGGTAAATCGGCTGTCATTAACATTTATCCTTTATCAAACTCACTGCAAATACAAGCAGCATTTTCTGCAAGTGCAATCACAACTGGTCACAGTGAGTTATTAAAGGCTCTGCAACTTGCCAGGTTCTTGTGCAGCAGAATCATAAGCTCAAATGACTCGGAAAGATAATCCTTTGAAGTTTTTTCACTTTCACAGAAAAGGTACCGTTGTTCCTTTTTCCCCTCAGCGCAAATTTGTGCAAATATTCAAGACTCATTATTGGTTCCACTCAGAAATCTTAATGGAAGTTAGGTTCTTATAAGTAGGTATGCATAAGTCTGTAATGGTGGAGAAGAGGCAAAGACAGACCTGAATTTCCTCTGTACTGCAACATCCAGACAAATGTGTGCATATACAAAGATGACAATTTGAACATGAATCTTTTCTCTCCACCACCACATACACACACACACAGAGAGAATGGGACAGGGCTGAGGAAAGGAAAGTCCCACTTTGTCTTCAACCTCAACCAAAATATATGCCTGTGAATGAGGAGTTCCTTCCCCACAAGTGGACAACATTCACTTGTCCTCCTCTTCTTCTACAGTTCTTGATATCTTTTCCTATTATTTCAAGAGACTGGACAGCAACAAAATAGACAAGGCATAAAGGATTGACAGACATCACAAGCTGAGAAAATGTTTACAAATTGAGAACAGAGCATTGCCCAGTGAATAGTCATCACTTTGGACTAAGTGGCAAATTTCCTGTTCAAACTGGTCATCTGTGTACACTGCGCACAATTGCCAATGTTCATGCATTCAATTCCAATGTCCGATGGATCTAAAGATGTATTTTTTAAAACCACTGAAAAATGATACCACGCTGCCACCTAGTGGCTTTCTTAGCTACTGTGTAATGATTGTCAGCAATTTCACAGACCCATCTCCTTACTGCTAGCTTAAATTCACTAGAGGTGAAGAGGCTACACCTCAACATCATGTTCCAACTCTGTGCATGCAAAAACCCCTTTCTTGTTCATTTTTTGGCCTGCTGGCTGGCCAGCCACCCTTTCTAACCTTTTCTTAGTTATTCTCAATCTATTCTGTAAAGTTTTTGACTGGTTAGAGATCTTAACTGTCTACATGACAAGTTTCAACATTTTCTAACTTTTTTTAGAAACTTCTTTTACCATTCTTTTTTTCAAACTGTTGCTAAATCTGGCACTTAACTTGAGGCTAACTTTAATAAAGTAGACTTTTTCCCTGATTTATTACCCTTGCTCTGTTCTTTTTTTGGTTATGAAATCTTTAAGGCAAATTGGTACTCTGAATTTCTACACCTTAGCTATGACATTCTAACTGCCTTTGTTTTATTTATTTATGTATTTATTTATTTATTTATGAATGATAGTGTTCTGTTGCCTTAATCTTCCCTTCAGCCAAAGAAATGTCTATGTGGTTCATTTTGTAACTCTCCTTCTCACAAAGTCTATAATGCTGCTGAAAAACTGGCTGCTTTGCTGGCTGTATTTTTAATACTAATATTAAATAATCCAAGTAATCAGAAACCATTGTCTTTTCTCAGGTTGGTCCCATTGTATTGTCCCTACTGACAAAGTAAAAAACCAGTGCTGCTTTTCATATATATAATGATAATACTAGCACAAAATGCGGTTCAATACATGTCATTTATATTAACAAACAAATAATTAAGGTCTTGTTCAGGGAAATGTTGCCTAGGATGAAATGAAACTCATTTGTGGGAACTGAGTTTTGGAAGGCTGTTGTTGTAAGCTGCCCCGAAGCTTTTTGCGAATGGGGTGGCATAGAAATGGTTTAAATAAATAAATATGTTGCCAAATGACCAGAAGACGTAGAGTCGCAAGTCAAGAATGTTCCCCTCACCCCCCTTTCCTGATGCAAATACATACATTATATTCTCTCCCTAGGCAGAACTGATGCACCTGAGATATAGTCAACTGCCCTAGAAAATGCGAAAGCCCCTGCACACTGCAGTGTATCATAGAGCCAAAGGAAGATGGCAAACTCAAGTGGGTACTCTGAATCAAGAAGGATCCCCTTTCCTGGTCCTGCTAAATGTGTTGCTATAAACCACCCAAACAGCTTCATCTACTGGGTGGTACAGAAACTTGGTAATGGTAATGGTATCACCTCTTTGCCTTGTGCCTAAGCTTTCCATTTAGCTCTCTCCCCATGAACAGAACCTGGTCTCAAGGACAGGGGAACAAGAAAACCTAGGCGAGAAGCTTACATAAGAAGGCAAAATACCCTCTGGCAAAAACAAGCCCTTGATTCCTCAGACTCTTTTCCTGACACTCACAAGTCCTTCTAGGATTAAGATTCCCAGAGTAGCACTGGGAAGGATGCAGTTAGCAGTTCTGCCATTTACTATTAAGCTGGCAGTATATACCAGTACCTATGCAAGTAGATAAAAAGGTACCACTTCGGTGGGCAGGTAACAGCATTCTGTGCACTTCAGTGTTTAGTCATGCTGGCCACACAACCACAGAGACTGTCTGCGGACAAACGCTGGCTCCCTCCGCTAGGAAATGGAGATGAGCACCACCCCCTAGAGTCAGGCAAAACTGGACGTAATGTCAAGGAGAAACCTTTACCTTTATACCAATAGCACATAATGCCTGACTACATAGATGTGAACAGCTCTCACACTATTTCAGCAATCTATCTCCTCTTACCTGGCTCTAGTGCCACACTCTTTTGCATTTGCCACCAAATTAGGAAGGTCCCTGATCTGTTTCACCTTGCAAATCCACTTGAGTGCAACTGGCAAGACCAACAGGGGTGATTGCAAAGTACTTCATTCACAGCTGCATCTTCCTTTTGCAAAGACCCCTCAGACAATCCCCTCAACATGCAATATCATGCAACTGTTAATAAAGTGGGCTTGCAGGTATGTCATATCAAGGATAAAATCTAGTTGAACTTGGGCCATACACCAATTTATGCTGCAGAAATTCTTTAGTTTAGGATATTAACCGGCAAAAGAAACCTTCAGTCAATTAACTGTATGAGTTTCAGCTAATCACACTAGCAGATATTTACATATGAATAAATAATAGTGTGTTGTCCCTTGCACGTTTCTGGAAAAGTCCTGTTTTTCTGTGTAAGTGAAGGCAGACTGACTCTATAACATTGGCTGCCAGCTGCAAATTTATGATTACGCTTACTCTTTAAAAAATCAGGGCAGCTTTTTAGTCTTTCAAAACTTCGTAATACAAAAAGGAGCAATCTTTCACATGCTTACGCAATAGTTTAATCTCACTGAGTTCAACAGAACTTACCCCCAGGTAAATGTGTGCAGCATTCCAGCCTCATTGCTACAGCCTTGTCATCATCACCGAATGTAGATGACAGGAACAAGCAAAGGGAAGATCAGGGATGCTCCAGGTGGAGTGTGTTCCCCATGGAACTTACTGATAGCACCTGCCATGTGGGAAGGTACATCAGAATGCTGACAAGTGGAACTGGCTGCGCTGTTCAATTTTGTCTTTGAGCATGTACCTCTCCTCTATAAATACAGTAAGGCACTTTGAGGACTCCAGTTGAAAAGTGGGATATACATCTAAATAAATAATAAATTCTAATAGCAAACTTGGCTGGTGAGTACCACTGGGATTTTTGCTAAGACAAGCTCAATTATCAAAGAAAGAAATAATCTCATGCTTGACCTTATCTCAAGCTCTATAGGAGTAGAAAAACAAAGAAAAAACCAAATTTCCGAAAACCTAATGGAACAGCAAATACAAAAACAATCCAGTGAAAACTGAATATGTAGAGAGAACGTGCAATGTAAAGGGGCTGCTTGTTGGAGCCATAAATTGAGCACTTGTTTGGAAAGAAGGCTAGATGGTAACACGTTGTTGTAGGTCCCATTTCTTTCCTAATAGTGAGCTCTGATGATTGAAGGCCTCTCCATTTGTGACCATACAAGAGAACATTGCTTGGTACAGATAAGACTGTATGTCTGTAAATTAAAAGATTAAAAGTCCAAAATATGGCACTTTGAGCTTCCAGGAGGTACAGAAAGTTGAGGGCACAAAGGTAAAGAAAGAGCGCAGTAATTCATTGCATTCTAGAGAGTGAATTATATAATACTTGTCTACATGTCTATTATATAATTTTACCTTTCAACACCATATACAAAGGAAATCCTATTTAAACTCAATGAAATGAATGGGACTAAAGTTAGACTAACAATGGATGCAAATAGTCCTCTCAGGAAAGGAAACAGAAATACAAAATGATAATAATATAGCAGTTTATTAAATTTTTCAATTGTCAGCCACATTAGCAATAACTCCCTTTCCCTCAAATAACAATAATGGCAAAATGGAATTCTAAAAGCCTAATTTCATAAAGGAAACATGAAGAGAACAAAGTTGAATGTCATAAGCATAAGCCAAAAACTAACCTAAAGTTTATCTATTATTTATTTTAAATAAACACATAGGTTGCCTTTTGCCCTTAAAGCCCACCCAGGTCAGCTCACTCCTTTCCCTTGTAGCTTCCCTGTGCCTCTTGTAAAGATTATCTCGAGAGTCCAGGGACTTCCAGAACCACATCATGTGTTACAGGGGCTGAAGTAGGAGGGAAAGATTTGTCTGTGATCCAACGCAATTTTTTTTCTTTTAAAATTCTTTATGCTTATACTACGTACCATTATGTGACAATTGGTTGCTTGACATATTACTGTTCCCATGTTTTTCTTTTTTAATACTCTTAGAATCTAAAACAAAAACAAAAAACAAAACAATTTTACACAGTTTGACATAGCAAAAAGGTTACTAGTGCAGATTATTTGATCTATGATGAAATTTATAAAGTTGAGGTTTAAGTTCTAGAAAAATGCTTACATGAAATGAGAAATGCAATGCCATAACACAAGTCTACTCAGAAATATCTTATATGTTATTTCAATGAGGTAACCAGGCATATAATTTAAATCAGCAATGTTAAGCATGCTTAGTCAGTTCAAGTCCTATTGAATTTATTAAGTCATCTCTAAATATACCTGCTTTAGATTGCACAGTAATTTTATTGTAATGAACAGACTTTTTCAAACAATAAATAGTACAGTATAGAACAGCTGCACTTCGAAAAAGCAGAATGTCATAAACTTGAAAAAACTATTCTCTTGCAAGCTGAAGTACATATCATAGAATTGTCTGTGGAATATAGATAAACCCAGGAAAGTTGAACAATGGCTGCAAGATCACAGAAGTGAAAGGTGTCTTGCCTGGCTTGTTGTACTGGGCTAGTCACTTAGGAAAGACTGTAATAAACTATATGATGATGCATTTTCTGTAATTATATCTGTTACAAGAACAAGTTTCTTATTCAAAGTATTACATAATATTCCTTCTACAATTATTTAATTTATTTTTTATTTATTAAAACATTTTTATGCCGCCCCATTCGCCGAAGCCTTGGGGCGGCTTACATCACTAAATTAAAATAATTGTAATATAAATTAAAAATATAAATATTAAATTAAAAATACAACAATACAGTATAAAATAAGCCGCCCTAGCCAGATAAAATCCAATAATATTAACAGTTAAAATGCCCCTTGAATAAAAAGGTCTTCGCCTGGCGCCGAAAAACAAATTATACATGTTTATCCTATGCAATGGTAGGACCAAGTATACATGCTCCAGTGTCTGGAAGACCAACCATCTAATATAATCCAATCTAACAACTTAATCAAGTTCAACTAGGAAAGGATCCCAGCACAGCAATACAATGAAATATAAACTGTTAGGCATTTACAGTATTGATAAATAAGGTGGTTCACTATAAGTTCCTTTTGCAAAGTTGCTAAAAAGGGAAGGAAATCCCCCCTCCCCTTTAGGCACCAAGAGGCAAGGAAAGAAATACAGGTGGGGACAATGGCCACTATCAAACTGCACAGTTGCTGAGTAAATAGTTCCTCTGACGAGGACAATGGCTGCCGACATGTTCAAGGTTAAATAATCACTCAGACACTATGCTGCCTGTGGCACCTCCACCAATACCTTCTGAAGCCCAAAGATAAGGGCATGAGTCCCTCCACCCTCCATCATGATGCTGCCACAAAGTTTCATTTAGTGAATGGTTTTGCTACTGCATCTTCAGCCTATGCCTGTTTCAACCCTATGAGACATGAGGAAACAGTACTAAGTCTTTGTTTTAAACTGCATGTATGACACACACAAAAGAAGGCCTACTGGGCATCACTGCAACATGGTTTCACAGTGCTTACATAATGAAAGAAGTAGAGCATGAGCAACAGTTCATTGCCTACTGAATTTAGGGCACTAACCTATGCCTGTTTAGATGTAAAGATGTCCTGCAACTCCCAGCATGGACTAGGAAACCCAAAAGTTGCAGGCCTTTTTGTAGCACTGAACCCTTAAAAAATCAAATGATTGTCTTGTTAAAACTCTACTTACACTTTCAGCTGGCATTTTATCTGTCACGTTAGTAAAATGATGTTTATTTAAAAAAAAGAATTGCAAAATATTCTTGTGCTTTAAATGGACTGGCATATTTATCTTTAAAATTAGTAAGTAAAACTAGAATTGCACACTGTGATAATATGTGCTGTATAAATGTCAACAAACCTTTTTTCATCTAGTCAATGGTGTTTGAACTGAAATAATTATGAAAATATAGATATAAATTCAATGTGCTTTTGGGCAAGAAATAAGGAAAGGAAGTCGGATGTGGTTTAAATATTATAACTGAACATTTAACAGGAAGCTAATTTTATTTGAATATTGCAAATATCTTAGGCATGACAGATCAATAGCACACATTCCCTTATACAGTTTTTAGCATAAAGAGAAAAATGTACATCACATCTTTCAAATTACCTTGTTTGACTGTGATTGCGCCTGTTCATTATGTTACTAATTTTCAAACAATGAATTTCAAAATGTTTCAGAATGAAATCCGCTATTGTAAGTGGAATATACTTTCTTCTTTCACAAATCCAGCTAGCTAGTATCCTCAACACACTAGTGGCCTAGCTATACTACGCTTCTGAAAATTCCAGTTTCTTGTGTTAATATTCCTTTTAAAAAGTCTTTTTGTTTGAGCAACTTTACCTTTAGCTGCTGTTTTCCCCATGTTAAAAGTCTTGTCCTCCCTTTCACAATAAAAACATGAATGCTGCAAGAAAGTTCACTCTTCTTTTTCAGTGCAACTCTGTGGAACAGCAATACAGCAGGTTAGATCAAACAGAAGTCACTTATAAAGTCACTGAAAATATTCAAAATTACACTGGAAGTAGATTCAAAATGGGCACGGCTTTTTAACCCCATCAACATGTAAGGAGGAACAACCAGCTTTATACCTAAGCATTAATTTCAGTCACTGAATTTATAATTTCTACAAAACATATATAATTTTCTTCAAGTTCATTAGATTTTCTATTTTGCTTAAACTTATAATTCAATACCTTTTGTTAATACCTTCTCCCCTATAATATTACCCTATTACCCTATATTACAGTAATTCTATAAGAAGCAACAGGGAATTAAAATTCATTATAATCTTTTTAAAGGCGATATTAGCATTCCATGTAGTAGCTCATCAGAATAAAGAGAAATCCATTTCTGTGGTACAGTTGTTTCACTCCAGTACACACAATGTTTCATTTCAAACATTCTTAAATGTTCTCACTGGCATTATTGCAACAGGATGTCTGATAGCAGTGAACCTGGAAGTTGTTTTTATTTATTCCCCAAATACATTATTGTCATTGTTTTGTTCACTTTTCAAATATATCACCCTAACAATTTAACTAGACCTTTGTCTGCCAAGTTCCCAGGTAAGTCTGTATTCTGTGCTTGAATTGTGTTACTTATTAGCCCCATCTTGCTGGGACTGTCCCTCATTGTCCAATTCAGGACAAGGAATTGATGCAATGGCACTTAGGAGTTTCCTAGTCGAGTAAGACCAGCATTCTTGTATACAAACAGTAAATATCACCACTTAAAGCGGAACAGGTAACTATTTGTTTCTTTCCACCTGCAGCCTTTCAAAACATGTCAAATCCCCCAACATTCCAGAATGGTTCTGTGGCTTTCTAAAGCTGGTTTTAAGGAAGAACAAGAGGCTTCAAGAAATGTATGAAGTTGCAAACCACCACTTCACATTTTAAAATTTGCAGGATTTCTCTTGATTCTTGATTAATAATGCAATCCTACACATTTGTACTCAGAAGTCCCACTGAGTTCACTGAAATTTACTGACAGGTAACTGGGTATGGGACCCTAAGTTAATCAGACTAATATTAAGGCACAAGCTATCACCAAAAAGTTTTAGCAACCTAAACCTTGTTGTTAATACTGTATGAGGAAATAATGCATAACCTGCACCCTAATGATCAGATTTTGGATCTGAAAAATCCTTATTCTCCATATATTATCAAGAAAGTTTCATTCTTCTTTTCCTGTAGAGTGTCAAGCTACAGATCAATACTCCCAGCTTTTGAAAAAGTTGGCAGAAATGTAACTGAGCACAGAAAGTACAGGGAACATGTCAAAACACAAAACTTTCAGTCATTTTAAATTTCTGACACTGAATTGTTCAATGATAATATGCAGCAAACTCCACTGTTCTGTCCAAAACATATAACTCTAAAATGAAGAAAGCTTGAGGTAATCAGGAATGGATTTTTTGTGAAATAAAAGCAAGCTCCAATCAGTTTTAGCACTCAAAACAAGTTCCTTAACCTAGAATCCTTGAAGTGTATGTCTTTTACAACAGTCTGTAATTGGTAGATCTCAAGGGTTCTAGCAAAAAGTTAATCCCACAAGTATGTTATCTGCCCATACCTACTGTATAATTTATTAAGTTTAAAAAACTTAATTCTGAACATACTACTCTTCATTCAATATTTATGTAGTAGCAAGAGTAGTTAAAACTGTATAGAGAAATATCAAGGTTTTAGTATAAATGTACTGCACTTCACAGATTTGTAGTATATGTCAAAGTGCTTGCTTTTCATAATGGAGCTAAAATAGAAAATGTTTATCCCTTTGATTTTAGGGAAAATAAGTGCAATTGAAATACAACTCAGAAAATCATTAAAGTTGAAATCTTGTAAAACAAATAAACAAACAAACCTAAGGTGGCTGTCAGCATATTACAAATAATGAAATTCCTTGGATAATTCTTTGGATAACAGTATCATATTTTACCTACATAGCCAAAGTTGATAAATGTTTGCACATCTATTTTAAACCTATAAACTACTGCATATAACCAAAAGCATGGTAAAACATGAGAATATACAACATATTTCATGTTCCATCCAATACACAGAACGAAAACAAGCAGGGAACACTGCCAACAGTTCCTGAGGTCAAACACATACCATAATACCGTAGCTATTAGTCTACAAGCAATAAACTATGAAAGGTGATGCTCATTCCAAGCGGCCCCCTTTATGTATAGACTACTTTAAACACTTTGCGGTTTTTATCTTTTTCTTGTTGCTGCTGTTCTAGCCAACAGATTGCACTTGCTCCTGTAATAAAGATTCCAACCTAGCAGTGATAATCATCCCCCTTAGCCACTGGATTGCCTGCTAGAAAAACATAAAAAGAATTCCAGTGTTTCAGACTTTTGGGCTGTTCCAGAGACATAGCTGCTTGCTAATGCAGGAACACAATCTGAAAGAATAGGATGGCCAACATACAGCCTCCAATAAGGTGCCCAATACACTGTTTGGATGCCTATGAAATTCAGCTAGAATTGTGAACATTCCATTTTCATTTTATGGACTTAGGTGTTCTGTGTTGGCATTCTAACATGTAACATAGCCAAATGCAATCTTCAGAACATGTGATTAATCTACACATTAAAAACGTGTGATAGTGCCATTGAATTCAGTCGAGGAGTATAAACCATTTGTTCATCATTACTATGAGATCATAACTGCATTTCAGTAGAATATTCATTTACAAAATCGCAATTCCTCTTTCTGTCTTATCTCCCTCAGCCTCTCATTTATAGTGTGTAAGTACAACTCATTTTAAAATGAATTTCATGAAATGCCACAATTTCACAGTACTAGAACTGCAAAAATACTTAAGATGAAAACAAATATTAGATACTATCAGACTGACAGAATGACTTTGCACTAAATACCTTAATTCAAATTTAAATCTAAATTCAAACTGCCTTCCTATTTATTACTTTTTAAGATATACTTTAGAAACTTTATTGTTGCAGTAAAAGGGATGTTTGGAACCTGACTTTTAAGTTACTTTTTGTCAAAGTTTGCAGTTTGGTGATTCAACTGACCTAAAGCTGTACAGCAGAGAATTAGCTTTCCCTTATTCCATTCTAATATGAGCTAGTCTCTCATTTATCAATCAGTGCAAAATGTCATCTAAACTAATTTGGCTTTAAAACTAAGCTCTTAAACCAATTTATAAACCTATTTCTACTTGTACCATCATATCATTAACTTTAACAGTTCACATGTAAAGACTAAAGTTTATTTGGTCCATCATCAATCATAATGTGACTTAAGGACATAACAAAAAAATTATTGGAGCATCCTTTGAAATGTGCATGATTAGTCTTCCACCTGGTTTATTAAATAGTGGCATTTTATCTATCAAAGTGTTCTATCTGCCAGTGTTAAGTGGAAGAGTTATTAATTATGTACTGTGAATATAAACAAATTATCCATTTGAGAGGCACTCAATATACTTTGTTGATGCTTGTATTCTAAGTGGGGCAATCTTGATAACAAGAAAAATGAGACTGAAGACATTCATTTACTCTTGCAATCAGGAAAATTTTAAAGTAAAGTGATAACAGTCCTTGAAACTCAGAATCCAAATTTCCAACTGCCAATAAGTACTAAAGAAACAAGTAACAACTTCTTATATATCAGAAGTTCAAAATACAACTAATATTTTCCGTAACTTTTAATGTTCTTATCAATTTCCCTATCATAAGTTGATCTCAAGTATCTTGATTTAGAGCACCTCAAATTAAGGAAAAGGTGCTATTAATTAAAAAACGTAATAACCAACTGTTCTCTCAAACAAGAAAATACCAAGTCTAAACTACAGTCAGTATGGATTAATGAATAATGCACTGGAGCTGGTCCACAGACACTTGTTCATGTCCCTGCTACATACAGCATGAGGTTCGCTAAGAGGCTATGGCGAAGTAATTCTCACGCTGCCCTACCCCATCAGGTTGTAAAAAAAATATACAGCTCCTGAGCTCTTTCAAAGAAGGGAGTGATACAAATACAAATGTCTGTGTCAAGTATAACTTTAAACCATATATTGTGATACCCATTTCAGCAAAAAGGAAAAGTTTTACTAACATAGCACTAGGAGAAAGGGCCCACAGAGCATGGGAGCAACATTTTTGATACCTCATACCCTCCGTGCCTATGTGATGCCTGGCTTCAGAAATTTTTTTTCAGTCAAAAAATGAAACTTGCCAGAATTGATGCAGGGACCTTGTCTGTTGCTCTCCCAGGAAACAGTTTCACTTGGCTGTTTTTAAAATATGCAAGACGTCCTGTGATACAGCTTACATTTATGTACAGCTTTTATTGTATAAAATTACCTAGAGTTATTGTATAAAGTATGACACTGTACTTTTAAAAAGCATTATATGTCGCTGAAAAATGGCACAGAATTTTTGAAACAATAATTATCATTTTCTTGGGGTAAAACAACCATAATCCTATGTATATTTACTCAGAACTTACAGAACAGAGTTCTTAAGTATATATATATATATACTTACAGATATAGTTCTTGAACACTACAGAGTTCAAGAAAGACTTCGTCCTACTTGTATTTAGGACAGCAATGAGTATGACATTTGCTTTGATACAGATCTTATAACAAAGTGAAGAAACATACTCAATATAGTAGCAGTTTTCCAAAAAAAAGCCTCAGAAGTTAAACTCTGTATAAAACCTATCCCAATGGTAGCCATGTTAAAACTAAGAAGTTTTGAAAACAAATTATAACATTTACTTTTGTATAGGTTTATGGAACAAACCTAAAAATAAGTGTATAAGTAATCACAGCCTGAATCAAAACTTGCATGTAATATTGTATCTAATTCACTTCTGCATCCAAAATACCACATCTATTTCTGCTACTGTTAATTTAAATTTTGTGACAAACCTGAAAAAGAACAGAGTATTGACTCAC